ATACTTCTGTGTCGATCATTATAACTGTTATAGAATTTTAAATTAAACATGACGCCATTAACTTTATCTATTAAGATTCTATAAATTTGAATTTTCTGAAGGCCGTAGGTCTTTTACAGGAAGAAAGACATAAAACATTGATTATATATATATATGAATTCTTTCCCAAAGTATTTACATACGATATTGAATTTTGCCTATATTAATGCTAACGTCAAATTTATCCGTCTAGCACGAACAATGGCCGCCATGCTTATACATTAAATATGATGTGAAATGTTTGATGGAACTCAGGTGTTTTAATCAATGATCACGTGACCACTGTGTTTACCTTGTTCTGACAGAACACGTCAATACATACCTACACCTAAAACCCCGTGCTTGTCACCTTTAATTGTTTAAACCTTAATCGATGATATACACTCAACATTTTGAACCTAAAATATCTCATTTATTTCAGAAAAGTTAATATGACCATGCAACCGTTATCGGTTTCATTTTTGTATTAACACGTGTAATATAATCCAAATAATAGGATACATCTTATTTACATTTTAAGTTTTGATCCGTTTAAAACAAATATGTTGCTTTAAAGACGTTAATTGACGATTGAAGTGGCGATTGTGATAAAAAAAAAATATGTGATGAAAAATTGATTTATACGTTTTGAAAATTTGGAGTGAGGCATAACCAGGTATTTGGATACCGTTTTGTAAATGTCTGATGACCTCATTCATTCCTGTTATAAATCATACTTGTTTGCTGTGTTTATCGCTCCGTGAACAACCGTGATAATTTATTTGGCGGTTACTTCTATGAATCCGATGCGGGAGGCCCACGGATTGCTATCGTTAATATGATTCAGATAAAGTGTCTAACCAAGATACCATGAGTAGGGTTCGAACCACGGCACACACCGGATCTTCAATTGAGCGTTTGCAAAGTCCGATGTTGTACCGGTTTATCAATAATTAAATTACATGTTTCAAATTCAGTTAGATTTAATCAATGTCTAGATCTGTACCCAAAGTTCTCGTTCCGTGGACTCTCTAACGAACGACAACTCGTGGTAGAGATTGTGACGTTTGTAAAGGAGAGGTAACATTGATATAGGTTGCTAGGTGACAAGTCACAATGTGCGCGAACTGTAGGTTTAATAATAATTTTCTATATATTCATAACACTTTCATTCGGTACACATACATTACACAAATGATTTCAATGTATGCTCATTTTCCTGAATCGGTAACATAAAAAAATCATGGAAATTTCTGTGAAAATAAAGAATAAAATGATTCCATTTTTATCCTGAGAGGAACACCATATAACATGCTCCAATGTATTTTGGTCCATATTTTACAGTGAGCCTGTTCGGTATGATCGATGTCTATATCCACGATTGATTTTATGACAAGTGGCATTAAGTATCTGAACTGCAGTGTTGCGATGAGACTCGAGAGTGATAGCATTTAATAAGTCATGTGATCATGCGAAATTGATCCATTAGTTTCCGGAATCTGCTGGGTGTTATAAAGTATGTGGTGTCTGTAGAGGTTACATGTGGATGTTTGCCTGACATAAGGTGACTAATTACATAATTTACCTGTACAGGTAAGCATTGAGATTGTAACTAGTAATGTTGATTGTTAGTGACTGATCGTTTACTGAAATTTGAATTTATAAATGGAATTTACCTGAACAGGTAAGCAGTGAAATTGTTCCTAGTAATGTTGATTGCTAGTGACTGATCGTTTACTGACATTTGAATTTATAAATGGAATGATAGATGTAATACTCAACCGGGGACAATGATGGTCGCTGGTGGTTACGTGGAAAAGTAAAAAGCAGATAGGGATTTAGAATAAGTCTGAAAGGTAAGGCGTGGTTGGAAGCCGTGGTGAGTGTGTGAAAACGTTTCGTGATAGACTTAAAGTAACAGGAAAGATTTCAGTTCATTTCAAACGCTAGCTGGCTATTAGTGGGTAAAGTACGTATATATGATTTCATCTTAACGGAAAATATTTGGTTGAAGCAAGATGAACATTCGAAAATCTCAAAGGTATGCGCTATTAGAAGAGGGGTCTCACATCAATCACATGGCAATTCAGTGTTGTCTTGGATAAAGTTTTTACCGCCGATGTCAGAGATTGAAAGGTGTAGTCTGATTACACAAAATCGCCTCATTTACTGGCACGGTTTAGAATATACTCACGTGCTTAACGTTATTTATATAATTTATAGGGGTTATCGCACCTCCCTATCTAAATACAGACATAACATTTATCTGCTTTACAAGAATTGTGAAACAAAGTATCGACTAACACTAATCACTCGTGTTGGTCCGGATAACAGCGTGAGACTTCCTGTGGGAGGACACCGGAATATCCGGGAAAACCCACGTGGTTGGACAGATGACACCCTACCTTTTTTCACGACTTACCGATCTAGATTTTGATATTCATTTTATAAATTTTAAGTCTCCATAGTTACCTCCAATGTTTCAAGGTTTCGACCTTTAGCACCACTGACGAGTCCGCGAAGGAAGAAACAGCTGTGTAATGCGGTTTGATTTTTAAATTATGACTCAACTTTGTCTAGTTCTTTATCTTTATAGAAAGGGTACCGTCATCTCGTGGTTACATTTTACATTCCAGAAATACTTCCCTATATCACAATATCTGTTAAAAATATCAACAGTGAATCGAAAACCGCATAGAATTGTAATCGTTTCGAGAGAACCAAGTTGGAGATTGGGTGAATTTGTATACAATTTAGTGGTCATATAAAGTAATGTGTTCGATACTATTCCGTCAGTTTTGATAAAGTTACTACAGGCATAGTCGATGAAGCAAGCGTCGCATTATCCTTCAGGAACTCGTGGACTTATTTATATGTAACGCTCAAGAATTCTAATGAAAACATTTCCTTTGATCATAAATTGTCCTCATTTTCTTGACTTTTGGTTAGAATTTCGGTTTGAATATCATTTCTAGAAAACTAAAACGTTATTTCGGATCCCCGTGAAATTTAAGGAATTTTAAAGTCAAAGAGATTTATTATACTTCATTAAGTAAATCAGCATATACTTTTCCCTCGCTTTTCCTAAAAGGTGATTAAAAAACTTTACAATGGCTTTTGGGAGGTTAGTGTAAATTGTCAATAGTGTTAATTAGACGTTTGACTTGACGGTGGATTCCGTATTTTCACGGAGTTGGCCGAGATATGCCGATCTCCTTTTGGAATCCTTCTAAAGAAATAATTCCTCAAGATTTGTTTACAGGCCTAGTTAAAACTCTTTGATCTTTTATCTTTACCCCTCAGATATGAAGCATTTAAAAACGGTCATGTCATCATTGAATTTAAGATTTTGAAAATAAGGCAGGTCAACACACCTCTAGATATATATATATAGGTGACACTGTTTAACGGTACAACTTATTTTTCGTTAGAAACGCTCCATCGATCTATATTCGTGTACCTCCGCGCTCCGTTAGCATTGAATGGACAAGGTCTATAAATAGTTTTAAATCCACGGTGAAGTAGGACAGACAAATAGACAAATTCTTTGCCAGTATTATAACATTTACAGATAATATATCTGCCAATCACTTTAAGATTTTTTTTCAATGTTTATACTGTCGTCAATCCATATCTCACACTTTTATACAATCAAGGAATTACATTTTGTCCGTGGTTTTTAAAGTATTGTGGTTATTGAACACGTGCATTGACAGCAATACAATTTAAGGTTAGGTACCGGTGTAGGAGTTAATTGAAATGTCGACACCATCACTCCCGGGGAGATTCTACAATGAAGTTAGACAAGAACAGGGTAAACTAAAGAGGTACTGATGTTTCTTTAAGTGGAATAATTTTTCTAAGGAATGTCAAGTTCCCTTCGTTATCAGGAGCTCAAATACATAGTAGTCACATTATTAACTCGAACTCTGATACATCAACTTTGTAAGCTTGCACAATCTCGAATAGTCGCTTCGTTATGACGATCTCTGAAGCAGTCACTTCGTAACCATGAATTCAAACATACTCAGTTCATTACAAAATACTAAAACATGTAACTTCGGAATCACGAAATAATTAAGATATTTAAGACTCCACGTGTATGATTTCGCTACAGATATTAATTCTTAATAGATAAATACAAGATTTCTCGAGATTCTGTTTTTCAAGCAATACAATTGACGGTGGTCTGCATTAACGAACATGCTTTATTGGTACAGCTACAAAGTTAAACAAAGTATCAAAATGTACAATAAATGTAGAACAAGTCAGGGTCACTTTGAGGTCTTCCTATAGCAGCTGGTGGCTACCCCACTGAACAACATATGGAAGACCCATCGCGCTCAAGTCATTCAGAGCAATTAGTTGTAAGTGTCTTGCGCAAGAAAAACAAACACGTCATCACAGACCTGTCTGTTTCTCTGTTACCCGGGAAAAACAAACCGCCGCGAATAGAGAGCATCGAACCACACTACTCGCATCTTTATGGGTGGACAAAGCACATTGATAAAATATATCTTATAATTATATACAGAAGTACGTGAGCTAATTCTGCAGTGATTGCTTGCTGGGTGTATCGTCTCATGAAAACATGGGCTCATTTTGAGGCACGGTCCAGGACAACAGCCAAGGGTATCGCTAAAATGTACATGACTTCCAGTGTCACACACGTACACCAGAAAGTAAAGTCAGTGTGAGGAGAGAAGGCGCCTTCTAGTATCGTATTCAGAGTGTGTAATGTTGACGACGTCAGTACGTATACCACAATAACAGTCTTAAAATGGTAATCAATTTCAATATATAAAATATTCATGCAGTCCATGTTGTCGGATATATGGAGAGAACATGGCTATACGAGTATACCGTCCTTGGGTGTGGATAATGTATTTTTGACAAGATCCTATCGTTGATTTGACCATACATATATATGTTACCGAACGTGTCAAAAACACCAGATATGTTAAACTTAAAGTCGGTTCAAGATGAGGAGGTACACAGCTCAGAAAATGCACGTGGTAGTGATGAAAAGGACACGGAGACGTGTACGATATCGCATGCAGGAAAGTGAACTAATCGCGACTGATCCGAGTAAAGAGTAAGTTGTTAAATATCCACGTAGCTTATGTACTGTGTTAGGCAGGTCAAGCCAAGTAACATGGGTTCGAACTCATGTAACGAATGTTTAATTAGTAAACATAAACATTAAACGATAGCTACGTGCAAATTTGAATCCTTCTAGATAATTAACATTTAGCTCCGCTAGTTCAGATGCATTTCAGTTTTAAGAATATCGAAGAATTTACGGGTCTGTTTGCTTGTCTGGTGTGTTTATCGACCTGTGAACATTCAGGGTCATTTTCAGTAGTAGCTGCCTCACTAAACACCATACGGGAGACACGTCGCACGCCATTCAGAGCAAAAGGGCAAAGGTCATGGTCACAACCACGTTAGCACTGACCTGTCCATTTTGCAGCTACATGAAAACCATAAGCCGTCATGGATAGGGAGCCTCGAACCTTGAACCTCAGAACTCTAGGCCAACGCTGTAACGACTGAGCTATTGAAATTGCATTCATGACGTTATAAACGCAATATTGTTTTCACTCCGGTTATCTGAAGGGTCATCACTTAAGCGATCTTTTAGGTGAATGTTTGGTTAGAGACTGACGTCGCTTCAGACTAAGCAAAATGTAACACTGCAGATATAAAAAGATATCATATGATAAAATGTATTAATTTTAGATGTTAACATGCGTATGCTTACCAAATATCGCAAACCAAACAATTTAGTTATGGGGTCCAAACGGCTAGAGAATCAAATGCGCTGCTGTTTTACTGTAGATCAGTATTGGGAAGCTTTGTTTTATCATGTCAATACAAAAATGGCGTTTTGTGTCTTTTCAGAATTCGTCCGAGGAAAATGAGTTTTATGTATTACAGACAGAAAGAACCCAAACCAAAGGCTATCCCTGGTTATGGGTTCGAGAAGAAAAAGGCGTCGGAGGTGCGAGATATTACAGAACGTCTAAGTCGCCCTACATATAACCGTCGACTGTCGGCCGACGAACCAACGCACCTGTATAACTTCGACAGAAGCCGCGAAAGTAGTGCATTATTAAGAAATCGCACGCCGTCTTCCTGTGGGCGACGTTCGGCACTCAGCTCGAGTGACCGTCAACGAAGTGCGACCCGTCGTCTCACGGATCGAGAAATGCAAAGACTCATACGACGGCTCCAGAGACCTACCGAAAGTTTTGCGATAGCTACAGCAGAACAAACGGACGAGCAGCAAGATTTGAAACAAGGTCGTATAACTCGGACGCCATTAGCGGAGGAGCAAATAGCAAAGACGGTCAGACGGCTACGCCGCCCGACTACGGCAACAATGGCGAAAGATATTAACGAATGTCATTTGTGTTATGAACACGAGAATAAAAGACCTTCGGATCCTCCTGACGCTTTCGATTACGATTATATAATGGATAAATCCCTTCCTCCGGAAGAACTGGACTATATCGTCAGTCGCATACGTGCGGATACATGCTCAAGTGCGCATGGGCGTCGTTGTGTAAAGACACCAGCAACGGCCTACTTCGATGAAGTGAAAGCGCGAGAAAATCTCCCACTTCTCAGTGGATTAGCTCGAAGTAGAAACGTCAAAGAAATTACCAACAGACTTCATCCCAAGCCTCGTTATCGTTTAGTGCCCTCAGCTACACCTATAACTGTTTATTGATGTCGTACATGTCCCATAACTCTCGTTAATTTTGCTATATATAGACAACGATAGACAGTTTAATTTCGTTAGGATATTTCTCCTTTATTAAATATTTTTACTAACGACTTTGAAGTTTTTCTTTTTTTTCGATGAATGATACAGTCAAAACATGCATTTTTCGCGTAAGTCCTTGGAACAATGAGAGTTATGTACTGGTGTCAATATCTGAAAACATCTGCATTATCTGCCCCTGTTTTGACAATATACCCTAGGATCCACTATAGAAAAAGTATCTGTGAATCGAGTGTAAATATTAGATATTGTTATCAATAAAGTATATTGGTATTGAACCTGTCTGTCAGGCGGTCCTTCTAAATTCGCTTTAAAAGGTTAATGTCTCGCGTCATTACAAGGTCACGACTCCATACGTCATCATAAGGCCACGTGACAACACTTTACATGTTCGGACATTTCACGTCATTACAAGGTCACGACTCCTACGTCATTAAAGGGTATTAACGATTCAGGTCATTACAAGGTCACGACTCCTACGTCATTAGAGGGTATTAACGATTCAGGTCATTACAAGGTCACGACTCCTACGTCATTAAAGGGTATTAACGATTCAGGTCATTACAAGGTCACGACTCTTACGTCATTAAAGGGTATTAACGATTCAGGTCATTACAAGGTCACGACTCCTACGTCATTAAAGGGTATTAACGATTCAGGTCATTACAAGGTCACGACTCCTACGTCATTAAAGGGTATTAACGATTCAGGTCATTACAAGGTCACGACTCCTACGTCATTAAAGGGTATTAACGATTCAGGTCATTACAAGGTCACGACTCCTACGTCATTAAAGGGTATTAACGATTCAGGTCATTACAAGGTCACGACTCCTACGTCATTAAAGGGTATTAACGATTCAGGTCATTACAAGGTCACGACTCCTACGTCATTAAAGGATATTAACGATTCAGGTCATTACAAGGTCATGTGATTTCACTTTACATGATTAGATGAGTCATGTTATTACAATGCCATGACTTTACACGTCGGTACAATGTCACGTGACTTCACTTTATATGAGCATATGTCTCATGTGATTACAAGGTCAAAAGTTCATACGTCAATACAAGGTCACATGAAGATGACAGCGCCAGACAGAGAGTTGACAGTAAACAAAGTAGTAAAATATCTAGATATAGTGGTTAATCATTGGGACCATGGACGAAGAGCAATTTCAAAACCTACTAATGGTAAATTTCTCTTGAAATGAAGGATTTTTAAAATGAAAAAAAAAATAATAAAAACAAAAAACGGTGACTATGGAATGCCATGGCTTGCGTTTGTAGAAACACTACAGGTTTTCGTACATTTGTTTTTGGATGAGACTAAATATTTGTGATAATTAATATATAACTTTTAAAATGAAATACAGTAAACTTCAAAATACAACAAGTCCTCAGAATCCGTGTGATATCTTTTATCATCCATTTTATATGCAATTATAACACAGTACAACATGGAAAAGTTGAACATCTCGGCATGTAATTATTGACAAAATTTCAAATGTTTCATTTTGAACAAAAAGTGCTGGAATATGGTACCTGCAGAGGTAAAATCACTTGCAAAGCCGAAAACATTAAGGCTACCATTAAAACTTGTTTAACACAGGATAGGTACAGCGTCTTAAACAACAAACTTAAGGGAGTATGCTACCATACACATTGTACCTATAATTCAGGTAAGAGTTATTTCCCTTTACAACAGTATCCGCCAAACGATGATGAAGTGGATTATTTCACTGGAAGCAGTATTGGTTTTATTGCTAACTGATTGAACACTGAACATTAAGGAGTTATGATACCTTACACATAACTATTTTTGTTAAAGAGTAATCTCCCTCAAACATAATAACTCAAAAATAGGACAAAGGTAAATTCTGTTTATCTTACATATATGTCCTCTGCAAACAAATCATCATAAACTGTTTACACAATGAAGTGGGAATTTCTGAGACAAGATTTAAGTGTATGGAAACATATTCATCATTTATGTTATACCACAACTAAGCTTCAGACCCTGGGCTATACTGTGTCAGTCAAAAGATAATTCAGACTGAGGCTGTTTCTCTTCTGGTCTCATTTATTTGATGTTTGACCCTTTAAATAAGAACAGTATACAAAGAAATATATTCAAATAAAAAAAAAATCTTTCTTTTTTTTTTAAACCTCTCTTAACAACTTTCTTCTTTCTTTGTCATGAAGCTAATGTTTAATGCATGACTGATGTGTTTTCTTATATACATGAAATATAGATCTATTACACTAGTGACATAATCTTTCTTATTACAAGACACATAAGTTGTACATGAGTGGCTTTGAAAAAATATCGTAAATAAAATATTGTATTTGAACATATATTGCTAGAACAATATATTACTATATTACAGTATTGAAACATCATATCCTACACGTATGTTTGTTGTCTGGTAATAATATTGATTCAAATGAAATATTATTGGATAAAAAGGCAATAATATTGTGTTTGTGCGTGACGATAAATTGTACCTATACAATGATAAAGTTTTATGGTGTTTCTTTCCAGCCACTGAATTCTGAAATATCTACATGGAGTAGAATGATGTGTAATGTGTACCTAGTCCTGAATCTGTCTTACAGAAAGGAACTCTTCATAGAAAGGGACATCACTCAAACTTCTGTGTACATAGATATATGGTATACATTCATGTACTTTAAGAAATATGCTTCAATAGAACCTGTTTTTACTGAAACTCTGTTTTTACAAAACTTATAACATTCCTGTCCACTTTAGATTTTTTCCCAATTGAAATTGAATTATGCTTAAATTACAAGTAATTAGAAACATGGAACCAAATATATATTTCTAAAGTAATATTGAACTTTACTAAAAGTCTATATGAACTCTGCCTTACTGCCGTGAAACAGAAAGTGGCCTTTGAGTGTAAATAGATACCATCAAACAGCTCTGGTAGACACAATATCACTCCTCACACATTACTCTTACATTTAATATATTCACCATACTGACAAAAGGGCAAGTAATACTGTGGTGAAAGTTTCCCAAATACATGAATTAGATTTCCATCGCAATTAAATATAGTTATATTAACACTATTTCTTTCTTATTTTTATTTATGAAAATCATGAAGTTATTGGAAAAGAAGACTATCAATTATTTATGCTCTAAGCTTCTTTTCCCATCTTAAATAAAATGCATGAAACTTTGTGTAGTATTGTTAATTAACTGTAACAAAATATTTCTAAAACTTCAGTTATTCGTAAATATGCGTGTATTAAGGGGAGACAACCTAGAAACTGCTTAATATTAGCAATAAGTGTAAGTAATTTTTCACACAATTTCAGATGACTTACAGCCAGCAAACTGCAGAACATTTGAAATTTTAATTCTACTCTGATAAAAACATTTTGAAATCCTATTCTTTTTTAAATGAATAACTAAATATGAATGATTATATACATTTTTGTATTATAGTACAAGTCTGCATGTATCAAAAATATTCTTTACACTGTACAAGTTGTTACTCTTTAACTCAAAAACCTTTATTGCCAACAAAATACATGAACAAGTTCTGTGATAGTAACAAATTTAAACCTAATTAATGTACATTGTCTGAAGGATTCTGACTGTTGACAGTGACAGACAAAAAAGAAATGGCAGGGAGCTATTCAGAACCTTTCAGACAGCTCTGAATAAAACTCGGACAGAGTTCAAAGCTGCCTATATAATAATGGTTTAATGGGAAGGAACAGAAAATTCTAAATAAAACAATCTCAACTACAGTAATCAAACTGACACCAGTCGTGACAAGGTCATTAAATAGATTTTACTTGGGGCTACATAGCACTATATAATGTCTATCAGACAGGAATGCCCCACGTCCTACAGAAACCAGAATTTGATCATGTGTAGTACTTGACTGATGTTATGACACTATGAACAAAATCTGTTGAGGGCTCCTCCAGATGACACAGTTTCATAACAGGATAGAACGGACCTACATATGTAAAATCCTGTCACCCTTCTCCCTCTTACCCCCAGAATATAGCAAGGCAATAGAAATACCAACCCCATGAATTGGGAACTCTAGGTTTGTCAATCAGAGACTATCAAGCATAGAGTGATAATGTTATGATGTTCCTCTTCATCCTTATATATAGAATTTCTTTTTTTATAAATCACTTTATTGAATACATGTACATCTGTAAAACCACTTAATTCCACCTTTTCATATTTAAACACCCAGTTAAAGCAATATCCAAATTTGATAAATATAATCCCATTTCAACTTAAAGAGAATGTAGAATATGACTCCAGATTTTTCATTTTTCAACTTTATACAAACACAAATACATGGTTATTGTGATAGTGTATAACAATTTTCTATCGTCCCATTGAGTAATAAAAACCAATTAAGTGTACAATTTATCCTCTAAAAATACAGGATTTAAAAAAATATATATCCTGTTGGTATTTAAGATTTAAAAGAAATCCTATTTTTTCACTATACTGTCACAGTTAGCGAGAAACACAGAAATATTGACAGATGAAGCTCAAATAATTTGCAAGGAGATTTAAATGACAATATGAAATAACAAGACAGTTTCAAGATATTACAATTTTTAATATTCTACAGTCAATATAATCAACTGATTTTTTTAATTAATTGATTAATCAATTAATTGGCTATGTATGAAAAAATTAAGAACAAAAGTGAAGTAATCAAATTATCTCCTAAATTGTTACAAGAATAATTATATTTCATGTTACACTCACTACCATATAACAATTTACAGGAATTGCCTCTCAATTTATCACCAACATCAGTTGTAATTTTATTTTTCTGACATCCACGAGTAATAAAGATCAGAAAACCATAAAGAGTCAAAGTTACAAAGTCATCGATTGATTGAGAATAAAATTTGATTAGTGAAGGAAAATTTGATTGAATGGATCAGAAAACTAAGAAACAAACAAAAATCAATATTAACTACTTTCTTTAATTGTTATCTGCTGAAACAAGAAGCAATCTTTGCACAATGGAAAAGGATTTTGCTCAATAGATGGTTTTCAGGGAACCATTTTTTTTTTCATTTTACCAAAACAACTTTTCATTTTACTGAAGTGTTGTTGCCATTTTCTGTCAATATTGGTATAAAATAGGTTTTGAAAACCAGGAAAACAAATAGTGGTAAATCCCAAATAAACAGACATTTTTACTCCTGTTTTGTACCATTTAGAATTTGTTCCATTCTAAAACTGAAATATACTGCCACAATGGTTCACTACACAATATACGCAGAAATGCACATACCCATAGGCTGGAAATAATACATTATACACTACAAAGTACACAGTTTACATTCTAGTTGGCGTCTTGTTTGTTGGAAGATTCTTCCTGTTCCTTAACATCAGGGGAGGTAACTCCTGCCTCCCCTGATGTCTTTCCCTCCGATGAAGCATCTCCTTTTGATTCTGTCTCTTGTTTTACGTGTAATTTCTCACTTGATAATTCTGATGGTACAACCTCAACCACACTAGATTCTAAATTACTCACGTCTGTTTCAAATTTCACATATTTTAACGATGAATCTTCAGGACTTTCACTGACAACATTTTGTGTCTCTTTACTTTCATTTTCAACATTTTGTGTATCAGAACTTTCTGTAGGATGATTTTCATTGATTTGAAGTGCAGTGTGAGGATTTTCTATACAATCACTAGCTAGTTTATTAACAGTTTCCACTTGTTGGTTTTGCATTTCTTTCTCTATTTGTTCATTAATAGAATATTTTGAATCAACACTTTCTATAGAGGTATCTGGAATCTGATATTTTGTTGCATCAACCCCTTCTAATGGATCTTCATCCATATAATCCTCTTCATCATCTTCTACATACTCCTCTGACCTCGCATCAGAGAATTCTGGAGTACTGGGACTTCCAGGAGATTTCTCTAAATCGTGTGAACTCTCAAATTCGCCCTGTGAACCTGATTTCTTCACAGCCTAGTGAAAAGGAAATGTAAAAACTATTAACATGATGAATATACTGCTGTATAACACACTCAACTAATTATCTTAAACTTGCATTTTCAAAAAAAAATTTTAAACTAAATCTCTTAACTTAATATTCCAACGTGCAATGTTAAGTGACCTAATCATTTAATAGAAGTTATTATTTTTCAAAATAAAGAAGAAAACAAATTATTAATGATTGTTTTGCCTCTGAACATTTCCAGCTCAATGGCAATGATAGAATTATTTAAACCAGAGAATTTTCAAAGGTATTTTTTAGAATAGTGGCCATCTTTGATTTCAATCTGACCCAATATTTGGTCAACTTGATCAGCGTCATTAAAGGATAATTCAAGGTACGTTAGATCTAAATCCTGTTTACAATGCCGGAGATAATGTTACAGGTAACTGCACAATAATTCTTCAAAATCCCCAGTACCCATGTTAAAACTACATCTAAATTGAACATAATGACAATTATTGACTATGATGACTGAGGTTCCTAAACATTCTATCCAGGTTTGGATAAACAGATTGTAAAATATGAGAAAATTCAAACAAAATGAATAGAAGTAAAAATATAATAAAATAAAAATAGAAAGAAATATAACATAAATACTGATAATGCTAATGACAAGCTTCAAATCAATATCAAACTCAGCATCAAATTATCACTTTCTGCTTTTCTGGGTACTTCTACAGCATCTTTCTATAATTGGTAGTGTTACAGACTTTTCTGATAACCCTATGAATGCAATTTCTCCTGATAGTGTTTATACAAATATTTTCCTCAGAAACTCTATAAGGGCAATTTTCTTCTGGCGGTGTCAATATTGATTTTTTAAATAATGTTCATATACAGATTAACAACAAATAATAACATATTTTCAATTACTACCTTTGCCTTGGATTCATTTGTCATTAATTAAGCCACTGAGATAGAGTTAAAAATATTCTTAATAACAAGAAAATGAAAGCTGAAGCATTTGTTTTAACAGTATGTACCTGTGGGTCGACGATAGGAATGGCAGCCTTGGCTCGACGAACAGGAGAGCGGTGAGGACTCTTAAATTGAAGTTCAGGAGGATAGTAGGTGGTCCCAGGTGGGGGACTCTTGAACTGCTGTAGTTCTGGGGGGTAGTATGTTGTCCCTCCCCGGTACACCTCTCCTTGTTGTGACTGTAAACAAGAAGGATAAGTAAATTTGTGTCTGTCTCACTTTGTCAGATTTGTGAAGTACATCCCTGTCTGTCTCACTTTGTCAGATTTGTGAAGTACATCCCTGTGTGTCTCACTTTGTCACATTTGTGTCTGTCTCAATTTGTCAGATCTGTGAAGTACATCCCTGTGTGTCTCACTTTGTCAGATTTGTGTCTGTCTTACTTTGTCACATTTGTGTCTGTCTCACTTTGTCAGATTTGTGAAGTACATCCCTGTCTGTCTCACTTTGTCAGATTTGTGAAGTACATCCCTGTGTGTCTCACTTTGTCAGATTTGTGTCTGTCTCACTTTGTCAGATCTGTGAAGTACATCCCCGTGTGTCTCACTTTGTCACATTTGTGTCTGTCTCACTTTGTCAGATTTGTGAAGTACATCCCTGTCTGTCTCACTTTGTCAGATTTGTGAAGTACATCCCTGTGTGTCTCACTTTGTCAGATTTGTGTCTGTCTCACTTCGTCAGATTTGTGAAGTATATCCCTGTGTGTCTCACTTTGTCAGATTTGTGAAGTACATCCCTGTGTGTCTCACTTTGTCAGATTTGTGTCTGTCTCACTTTGTCAGATTTGTGTCTGTCTCACTTTGTCAGATTTGTGTCTGTCTCACTTTGTCAGATTTGTGTCTGTCTCACTTTGTCAGATTTGTGTCTGTCTCACTTTGTCAGATCTGTGAAGTACATCCCTGTGTGTCTCACTTTGTCACATTTGTGTCTGTCTCACTTTGTCAGATTTGTGAAGTACATCCCTGTGTGTCTCACTTTGTCAGATTTGTGTCTGTCTCACTTTGTCAGATTTGTGAAGTACATCCCCGTGTGTCTCACTTTGTCATATTTGTGTCTGTCTCACTTTGTCAGATTTGTGTCTGTCTCACTTTGTCAGATTTGTGAAGTACATCCCCGTGTGTGTCACTTTATCTGATTTGTGAAGTACATCCCCGTGTGTCTCACTTTGTCAGATTTGTGTCTGTCTCACTTTGTCAGATTTGTGTCTGTCTCACTTTGTCACATTTGTGAAGTACATCGTGTGTCTCACTTTGTCATATTTGTGTCTGTCTCACTTTGTCATATTTGTGTCTGTCTCACTTTGTCAGATTTGTGTCTGTCTCACTTTGTCAGATCTGTGAAGTACATCCCTGTCTGTCTCACTTTGTCACATTTGTGTCTGTCTCACTTTGTCACATTTGTGTCTGTCTCACTTTGTCAGATCTGTGAAGTACATCCCTGTGTGTCTCACTTTGTCAGATTTGTGTCTGTCTCACTTTGTCAGATTTGTGTCTGTCTCACTTTGTCAGATTTGTGTCTGTCTCACTTTGTCAGATTTGTGTCTGTCTCACTTTGTCAGATTTGTGAAGTACATCCCCATAATGAAATAATTGTTGTCTGCCATTCCACTGCAGCCTTGACCTTTGATTACTTGTAGGCAGGGAGTCCTGGACTATTTACGTTTATCTATATTGATCACCAGGACTATTTACGTTTATCTATATTGATCACCAGGACTATTTACGTTTATCTATATTGATCACCAGGACTATTTACGTTTATCTATATTGATCACCAGGACTATTTACGTTTATCTATATTGATCACCAGGACTATTTACGTTTATATTGATCACCGGTACTATTTTATTAGGATGCACAAACTGATCTAATTTTGTTTTCTGATAAACCCTCATTAATATCTTCATGCCAATCCCAACGTTAGCATGAAGTGTTACATCTGACATACTGACAAACTTTGTGTTACATCTGACATATTGACAAACTTTGTGTTACATCTGACATATTGACAAACTTTGTGTTACATCTGACATATTGACAAACTTTGTGTTACATCTGACATATTGACAAACTTTGTGTTACATCTGACATATTGACAAACTTTGTGTTACATCTGACATATTGACAAACTTTGTGTTACATCTGACATATTGACAAACTTTGTGTTACATCTGACATATTGACAAACTTTGTGTTACATCTGACATATTGACAAACTTTGTGTTACATCTGACATATTGACAAAATTATTTATACACAGGATTTAGTTTGTATTGTGATGTGACTTTTAATAAGAGACCAAGCTCAACAGCAGACTAAATTCCTAATTTGAACGATTATGTATATCATCACAATTTATCTTATCATAGTCTATTGTATAATTTGTATATCATCACTATTTATCTATCATAGTCTATTATATAATTTGTATATCATCACTATTTATCTTATTATGATAGTCTATTATATAATTTGTATATCATCACTATTTATCTTATTATAGTCTATTATATAATTTGTATATCATCACTATTTATCTATCATAGTCTATTATATAATTTGTATATCATCACTATTTATCTTATTATAGTCTATTATATAATTTGTATATCATCACTATTTATCTTATTATAGTCTATTATATAATTTGTATATCATCACTATTTATCTATCATAGTCTATTATATAATTTGTATATCATCACTATTTATCTTATTATGATAGTCTATTATATAATTTGTATATCATCACTATTTATCTTATTATAGTCTATTATATAATTTGTATATCATCGCTATTTATCTATCATAGTCTATTATATAATTTGTATATCATCACTATTTATCTATCATAGTCTACTATATAATTTGTATATCATCACTATTTATCTTATTATAGTCTACTATATAATTTGTATATCATCACTATTTATCTTATCATAGTCTACTATATAATTTGTATATCATCACTATTTATCTTATTATAGTCTACTATATAATTTGTATATCATCACTATTTATCTATTATAGTCTACTATATAATTTGTATATCATCACTATTTATCTTATTATAGTCTACTATATAATTTGTATATCATCACTATTTATCTATTATAGTCTACTATATAATTTGTATATCATCACTATTTATCTTATTATAGTCTACTATATAATTTGTATATCATCACTATTTATCTATCATAGTCTATTATATAATTTGTATATCATCACTATTTATCTTATTATATATATATAAATTGTATATCATCACTATTTATCTATCATAGTCTATTATATAATTTGTATATCATCACTATTTATCTTATTATGATAGTCTACTATATAATTTGTATATCATCACTATTTATCTATTATAGTCTACTATATAATTTGTATATCATCACTATTTATCTTATTATAGTCTATTATATAATTTGTATATCATCACTATTTATCTATCAGAGTCTATTATATAATTTGTATATCATCACTATTTATCTATCATAGTCTATTATATAATTTGTATATCACCACTATTTATCTTATTATAGTCTACTATATAATTTGTATATCATCACTATTTATCTATCATAGTCTACTATATAATTTGTATATCATCACTATTTATCTTATTATAGTCTACTATATAATTTGTATATCATCACTATTTATCTTATCATAGTCTATTATATAATTTGTATATCATCACTATTTATCTTATTATAGTCTACTATATAATTTGTATATCATCACTATTTATCTATCATAGTCTACTATATAATTTGTATATCACCACTATTTATCTTATTATAATCTATTGTATAATTTGTGTAAACCATCCTGGCAATACAATTTTATTTGATTGGAACAGAAGCAGTAGCATTTACAGTGCCATAATAAATTTATGCACAAAATCTTATTTAAATGTGACAAGATCAAAATTTCAACCAAATAAGAGACACACCCAGACAGGTCTTTTGTGAGAAAATATAATTAGCACTGAAGTCCTGTGAAGAATCACAAGTGTGTTTGCAGTATTATACCTAACTGAATACCAAACTGGAACCAAATTGTGAATAGAAAAATGACTAATATCTTAACAGACAATACTTTACAGGATCAGAACCAAACAAATGGCAGCTGTTTTGACAAAATGAGGAAACTTAAGTCATGTGATATTATAATACATACTTGTCAACTTTTAGAACTTGAAATGCAGGAAAATATGTGAAAAACTGAAGTTATTGTCAATTTACAAAACATTAATAAAGTGACCAAGGTAATTTATTTATTTCCGGGGATTTCTGCTTGTTTGTCTACTAGGTTTATCGCCCCATAAACAGCTAGGATAATTTTAGGTCAGGGTCTCCATGAAATAGCTGGTGGCTACTTCAATGAACAACATGTGGGAGGCCTATCAGATGTTGTGCACAGCAATTGGTGTAAAGTGTCCTGCACAAGGACACGACCATTTCAAAGTAATGAATTTCTCAGCTTCCCAGGACACACAATCCGCCACTGGTTGAACATTGAACCATTCATCTCAGATCTTCACTTGAGGTTCAGTAGGACAATACTCCAGCAGAATATCTGCAAACTAATGCACTAGATTTTCTCTCACGGCATGTACCTCTCTCTGGATACTTTATACCTTGTATCCAAATCAGCTGAAAACAATGAGACAATTAAGACATGTTGCTTTACCTGTATCAGATGTTATCAGTAAATGAAGACTAAATGTCTATACCTGTACTTGCTGTGTCTGTGGTGGAGGGGGAGGTTGAGTTGTGGAAACTGCAGGAGGAGAAGGGAAGCCCTGTATAGGGACATTTCCTTGAATGGGTACATTTCCTCGAATGGGAACATTTCCCTGTATGGGAACGTTTCCTTGCATTGGAACAAGACCAGGGGCTACAGGAAACGGAGCCGGAGGTGCACCATACATCATTCCCGTGTTGATAAACTGTTGGGGCTGCATCTGCATGCCTGTTGTCATGGTGACTGGGGGCCCTGAAGTCCTGGGTGGTACAAACACTTGAGGTGGCTGAGCAGTAATACCTCCTGTTGATGCTGTAAAGAGATTTTTTATTTTCTAAAAATATGTAGTAAATATTCAGAAATAAATTTCAAAATAATCACAACTTGCGATATTTTCCTTATGTTAAATTTGAAAAGGGGTATTGTTATAACCAGATATGGCAGAAAAAACTTATTTATCACATAAGTATTTCAAGTTTTGTACATGTGGTGTAAAATGAGATACGAGATAGAAGAGGCATTCACTATCACTATTTTAGTGTCATGAGTGGTATAAAGATGATGCCAGTTCTGATATGCTTAAATCAAAGTCACCAAAGTTTTTGTAAGTGCCACATTGGAAAGTGAGATGTATGTTATGTAAAAGTAAATCATTTTCATCAAAGTGTTTACATTTGTTTGACTGTTTTGGTGGTGAAGATTTAATATGACAGAATCATATGACAGCTTACCTGGTATGGGGAAAGTCATTGGGGTGCGTAACATTGTTGGTTGAAAGGTAGGTGCTCCTGGACCCTCCTGCTTCACAAAGCCTGCAAAGATAACAATGATGTATTCCTCATTATTAATGATAAGAAGCATTTTTAGATAAAAATCATTTATCTGTCACATACTTTACAGGGTGATCCCATAGCTGTGTGGACAGGGATATCACCACACCAGTGTAAAAGTTTGTAAAAGTTTGGCTGTCAGCCATTTAAAACAAAAGTATCAGTGAAACTGTTGAATGATCCCTGAAAACAAATTCAATGAAAAACAAGAATTACAAAAGGGCAATAACTCTGTAATAAAGGGGTTGGGAGCCTTGACTTTGGTTCACTGCACACTGTCCTTAGTATGACCAATGTATACAACAAGTTCTATTCTTCTTGTAAAAATACAAGTTAAGTTATGGTCCAGATTCAAACTTGTAACAAAGGGCATTAACTCTGTAATTAAGGAGTTGCAGTCCTAAGTTTGGTGCACTTGCGTTTGTCTTAGTACGACTGATGTATACACCATCTTTCATTATCCTAGTTAGGATGCAAGCAAAGTAATACTCTGGCCACAAAAAATTAACAAAGAGCATTAACTCTGTAGTAATTAATAGGCTTTGAACCATTACTTATTGCTCATTCTATCCTTATCAACCACAGATAAACAATATTTAAATACAACTTTCTTTACCTGGTGAGGGAGGTTTGTAAAACTTGGCATTCTGGCTTGAAACTGAGGCAGGAGTCTTGCTAACAGTAGTCTTACTATCAGCAAAAGTTGTTTGGGGTGGGGCCTGCTCAGTAAACCCCGCCTCCTGTCCTGCCCGCTGTCTCTGTGAAGAGTATCGTTTAGATCGCCCTTGTTGACCTCCTGCGTCAGTCTGTTTGCCGACAGCTGACTTCGGCACCTTGTTGTAGTTTTGTTTCTGCTCAAAGGACTTTGGAGATGTGCTTTCACCTGTAGAAACTAAGTGTTAGAAAAAGTCATATAAAGGGTTCATTACATTTACAAACCCTGAAAATGATTTTCTGAATAAAAATGAAATCCAACACTGTGAACTGATTTAAAACCTTGTTTTTCTGTTATGATAGATATATTACACTGCTTGAAAATCTGGGAGGAAAATTTTACAAAATCAACATAGAGAATTCACAGTAAAGACATGTGCGGGTTACCAGATTTTACATAAAAAACCACAACTTCTGTAAATATATATATAATTTGTCTTGACTGCACAAACTGAAAAGTCAAATTAACATAAAAAAAATTCTAGGACAAACTTTACCCTTTGTTATGACGAAACAAAAAATGTACTAGAATGAAGGACAATCATTTTCTAAACACACTGGCAGATGTGTTACCTCTCTTATCACACATCTACTTGACTTACCTGTCTTAGACGGTATCTCAGTGGTATCTACACCTTGTTCCGAGCCTTGTAGATTCACATTCATTGTTCCCTGAACAACAGCATTGATAGCATCGTCCTGAACTCTCGTCTTCCCTACAGCTCGATCCCGAGCTCTCCTATCTTTGGAGTAAGATTTACGCTCTCCAGTGTTTGATATAACTATGTTAACATTTTGAACTGTGTCTTTGTCAGTTAAATCATGATGTGTACGTGTGGATACCTGATCTAAAGGATTGGGATCTTTGACTGTTGTGTCAACCACTTTCGTTGCAGGTTCGGTTGTGATAGTTGTTCGGAAAAGTTCACCTTCGTGGTAGCCATATTCGTCCAACAGATCACTGTAATCTCTTGATGCATGTTTCTGGAACCGTGGAGGAAATTTATTACCGCGATTAGAAGTCACATTGTCTCTCATGTCAGAGTATGAACGAGATCCACGTTCATCTTGATCGAAGTCTCCACCACGTCCACGTCTGCTCCGACCTCGGAGTCCTGCCCTTGATGAAACCCCTCCACGTTCACGCCTTTCGTACCTATGAGGTTCTCTCTGTCTACCCTGATTGTACTCTGGATCCCTTGATCGTGACTGGTTCTGATCATTCCTGGCCTCCACTCTATCACTAGGACTATTTCTGTATCGATTTCCCCTCTCCTGTCCGGAATATCCACGATCTTGGCCTTTAGAATAGCTACGGTCATTACCTCCAGGATAGTCATGATCTCTGTCTTGGCCCCTTTCCTGGTTTGAATAATTCCTGTCAGGTCCCCTATCCTGGTTTGAATAATTCCTGTCAGGTCCCCTATCCTGGTTTGAATAATTCCTGTCAGGGCCCCTATCCTGATTCGAGTAATTCCTCTCAGGCCCCCTATCCTGATTTGAGTAACTCCTGTCAGGGCCTCTATCCTGATTCGAGTAACCTCTGTCAGGGCCCCTATCCTGATTGGAATAATTCCTGTCTGTGCCCCTACCTTGATTGGAGGCATTCCTCTCAGGTCCTCTGTCCTGACCGCGGGAATATACTCTTTCTTTACCAGCTGTGAAGCGTTCCTCATCTATTTCAGTCGATGACGAGCGATTAAACGAGCGGCTGGTATTTTCGCGGTAAGTGTTGTCACCGTTACCACCGCGGCCCCTGTTGTTGTTATTTTCGCGGTAAGTGTTGTCGCTGTTACCACCGCGCCCCCTGTTGTTGTTATATCTGTTGTTTCTTAAATCTCTTTCCTGGTTGTTGTAGTTGTTTTTACTCTGTATAAAATCGTTTTGTGGAGAACGTCGAGATGGCGGGCGATCAGAAACAAAATCTTGTAGCCTAGCTTTCTGATCAGATCTTCGACCCCTGGTGAATAAAAATGTGAAGAATGGATTAACATTGACTCAGTTAACATGTAAAACTGGAAATATCCTCAAAACAAAGCAAAGTATTGGTTTTGCCTGGAAATATTGATCGTTTTACATTTGTCTCAGGTAAAAAAGCTTTTTTTTCCAAAAGCAATCAACGATGACTATTGACCTTTGACCTTGACTGATGGCTACCAAGATGTGAACTTTGACCTTTAACCTTGACTGATGGCTACCACGATGCAACGCTACATGAATTAAATCTATTGAGGTTGAGTGTATCTTATACACCAACTTTTTATTCCAAAAGATCTTTTGACCTCTGACTTTAACCAATGACCACCCAAATGCAATCAGGATAATAACTTGATGATGCTATGTAAAAGTTCTAGGACCAGTGCCATCGTTGGAACAGACCATGTCACGGTTGAATATAAACGTAACAATACAACATTGTTTGATTTGAGCACAAGAAGGATCGTTTAATTAGCTTCCATTAAATATATGTTACTGGAAATTTCAAAAGTCTCAGAAATTGTCACTCTTAAGGAGATTCCGCTTGAAAGCAGACCCAATGCATCCAAGGGATGTGATATTGAGCAAAGATTGAGCAAAGATTTCATTGGTTCCTTATACGTTAATAATTCTTTTATAGAAATTTCATTTCCATTAAAAAACAAGTCGTTTTGGCTCGACAGATCTCCAACAAGAAAATGGATTTCCCAGTTTCCACATCTATCTATCCACTACACATAACTGTTGAATGCCGATATATTAATATGAAAATGAAATGCCAAAAGAGTATTCATTATCTATGAATTTTCCTCTGTAAAAGTTACTTCTCTTAGAAATATATTTTACATAGTAATATTGCGTAATAACTACTATTTTGTATCCCAGTTGAAACTGATGACTTAGTTTGACAACTACCACTGGGCCCCTAAAACTGCTTGTGCCAAATAATCCACAGATCAGCTCTAGTCCCAATCTGTACCTGGCATTTCTCTTACAGGTTCAACCAGTCTAACAATCTTAATGACTAACATGATAGCAGCCATCGTTTCAAAATTCTCGAAATGCTAAATTGTAAATACTGTTTATTTTGTATCCCAATATAACAATAAGGAAACAAATTTCAGATGACAGTCAATTCACAACACATATTTCAATATCATACAACGTTGAAAGAGATTTATCTTAAAAATCTCTGGGAAGTTAAAAAACACAGGAAGAAAGAAAACACTTTTCAATGGAAACACAACTGTATGAAAGGTATAGACCATAGAAAGTAAAAATGTAAACAGACTCCTGTGAAACTAATACTGAAGGGGATTGTTGATACAAAATAATACCTCTATCCCTTAAAGACTTCAAAGCAGCACAGCGTACCCACTGATCTGTTACTACTTTACGTTGAATTAACCTAGAACATTTCAAAGTAAGTGACCTACTTCTATTGTAAATTTCACCTACCTTGGCCTATTGTTCATCTTTGGTGCATCCGGGGGTTTGTCATACTGCCTGATATCATAGCCGTACATTGTGATAAGCTCTTCCTGGGACTTGGGAGCTTGTTGATCCTCACGGAATCGGTCATGGTACCACTTCCCATCATCTTTCCATAGCTTCTTCTTTGGCCTATAATTATCATACAGTCATAACTGATCAAGATTTGTACTAAAATATTTTCCTACAAACAAAACAATCTTTGTATTAAGATTAACAAAGCGACCCAAAAGCCTTAATGATCAAATGAATTCTTTAAATAATGTCACTGTTCTTGTGGCATATTTCCTGGAAATAATCCTCAAATTAAGATAATTTGTACAACATCGTACACATAATGCAATGTAAAATGTATGTAACATCAACTGCCATCCCATGCCTAAGATTTAAACCATGTTTGAACTGAAACAAGTTATGCTGAAAAATAAAGTTTCTTTTATGAACTTAACCAAATTTTACCCCTTCTCTCAGGGAAACATGGCCCTGAGGTCAGAAAATTCATTATTCATAAGATTTTTGAAATTGACATTGAATTGGTGGAGGGGTTATTCAGAAGTCAAAAAAAGTTGATTGTTCATGATGGACAATACATAATCCTGGACAAAAGGCAACCATAAAAGGAGGTCTATGACATTTTGTCCAAGACGACTTAAAAATGCTGAGGCACATACTAAAGAATTGTTTCAATTATGTTTGAACTTTGGAAAATTCCAGTCTTAAATTGCCTTGGGATTGACTCAAATGCTAGATTAAGAGGAACACAAAACAATTGTTTTAGACTTAACAGCAGTTACCTTTGCTGATCTTCCTCTGTGACCGAATCCTCCATGGAAATTCTCATGTCGTGCTCGTAGAAAGCTCCCCTTCTGGGTACAAAGGCGGGATTTTTCCGATCCTCGTCATCATCCACTTCCTCCTTTGGCTGTTCCTGTTTATCAGTGACATGTTTAATCAGGTTTGACAATAAATAATATTTTGAACTTTTAAAAGTTAAGTCTGAATATTTGTATAATATTTGATAGCATCAAAGAATAAATTGTTTCATACATCAAATGCCTGTTAAATAACAGTAAGAGTATTCCTAGACACTAAAGCATTTGTATAAATATGACTTGTTCCATACAAGGACTATAACAGTAACACAATTTGGAATCTTAATATATCTAAATATTAATTTCACACCTCTTTGAGGAAGGGCAAAGAACCTTCTGTAACCATACAGATTTATAGTTAACTGTTCACTACCATACAGATTTATGATTAACTGTTCACTACCATACAGATTTATGATTAACTGTTCACCACCATACAGATTTATAATTAACTGTTCACCACCATACAGATTTATATAACTGTTCACTACCATACAGATTTATGATTAACTGTTCACTACCATACAGATTTATGATTAACTGTTCACTACCATACAGATTTATATAACTGTTCACTACCATACAGATTTATATAACTGTTCACTACCATACAGATTTATATAACTGTTCACTACCATACAGATTTATGATTAACTGTTCACTACCATACAGATTTATATAACTGTTCACTACCATACAGATTTATATAACTGTTCACTACCATACAGATTTATAATTAACTGTTCACTACCATACAGATTTATATAACTGTTCATCACCATACAGATTTATATAACTGTTCACTACCATACAGATTTATATAACTGTTCACTACCATACAGATTTATGATTAACTGTTCACCACCATACAGATTTATGATTAACTGTTCACTACCATACAGATTTATGATTAACTGTTCACTACCATACAGATTTATGATTAACTGTTCACTACCATACAGATTTATAATTAACTGTTCACCACCATACAGATTTATAATTAACTGTTCACTACCATACAGATTTATATAACTGTTCACTACCATACAGATTTATATAACTGTTCACCACCATACAGATTTATATAACTGTTCACTACCATACAGATTTATATAACTGTTCACCACCATACAGATTTATGACTGTTCACTACCATACAGATTTATATAACTGTTCATCACCATACAGATTTATATAACTGTTCACCACCATACAGATTTATGATTAACTGTTCATCACCATACAGATTTATATAACTGTTCACTACCATACAGATTTATATAACTGTTCACTACCATACAGATTTATATAACTGTTCACTACCATACAGATTTATATAACTGTTCACTACCATACAGATTTATGATTAACTGTTCACTACCATACAGATTTATGATTAACTGTTCACTACCATACAGATTTATGATTAACTGTTCACTACCATACAGATTTATGATTAACTGTTCACCACCATACAGATTTATCATTAACTGTTCACTACCATACAGATTTATGATTAACTGTTCACTACCATACAGATTTATGATTAACTGTTCACTACCATACAGATTTATGATTAACTGTTCACCACCATACAGATTTATGATTAACTGTTCACTACCATACAGATTTATGATTAACTGTTCACCACCATACAGATTTATGATTAACTGTTCACCACCATACAGATTTATATAACTGTTCACCACCATACAGATTTATAATTAACTGTTCACTACCATACAGATTTATGATTAACTGTTCATCACCATACAGATTTATGATTAACTGTTCACTACCATACAGATTTATGATTAACTGTTCACTACCATACAGATTTATGATTAACTGTTCACTACCATACAGATTTATGATTAACTGTTCACCACCATACAGATTTATGATTAACTGTTCACTACCATACAGATTTATGATTAACTGTTCACCACCATACAGATTTATGATAAACTGTTCACCACCATACAGATTTATATAACTGTTTCAGATTTATGATTAACTGTTCACCACCATACAGATTTATGATTAACTGTTCACTACCATACAGATTTATGATGAACTGTTCACTACCATACAGATTTATGATTAACTGTTCACTACCATACAGATTTATGATTAACTGTTCACTACCATACAGATTTATGATTAACTGTTCACTACCATACAGATTTATGATTAACTGTTCACCACCATACAGATTTATGATGAACTGTTCACTACCATACAGATTTATGATGAACTGTTCACTACCATACAGATTTATGATGAACTGTTCATCACCATATAGATTTATGATTAACTGTTCAATACCAATACAGATTTATGATGAACTGTTCACCACCATACAGATTTATATAACTGTTCACCACCATACAGATTTATATAACTGTTCACCACCATACAGATTTATATAACTGTTCACCACCATACAGATTTACGATTAACTGTTCACCACCATACAGATTTATGATTAACTGTTCACTACCATACAGATTTATGATGAACTGTTTACCATACAGATTTATGATTAACTGTTCAATACCATACAGATTTATGATTAACTGTTCACTACCATACAGATTTATGATTAACTGTTCACTACCATACAGATTTATAGTTAACTGTTCACCACCATACAGATTTATGGTTAACTGTTATAATTAACTGTTCACTACCATACAGATTTATCATTAACTGTTCACTATCATACAGATTTATGATGAACTGTTCACTACCATACAGATTTATGATTAACTGTTCACTACCATACAGATTTACGATTAACTGTTCACCACCATACAGATTTATATAACTGTTCACCACCATACAGATTTATATAACTGTTCACTACCATACAGATTTATATAACTGTTCACTACCATACAGATTTATAGTTAACTGTTCACCACCATACAGATTTATATAACTGTTCACTACCATACAGATTTATAATTAACTGTTCACTACCATACAGATTTATAATTAACTGTTCACTACCATACAGATTTATAATTAACTGTTCACCACCATACAGATTTATGATTAACTGTTCACCACCATACAGATTTATGATTAACTGTTCACTACCATACAGATTTATGATAAACTGATCACTAAACGAAGGAATCATGTTTTGTAGCTCTAATCAAAATATCAAGATTAATATTACAACTAGATTTTACAATGAAACTTCACATTACAACATATGACATTAGTTATGTATATCTGTATGAAGCTTTACATTAAAATGATGTAACTTAGTTGTGTATCATCCTTAGAGATAGATCATACTTGCCACAGTGAAATTAAACCTACCTCTCCATCTCCACTCTGCCTTTCCTCTCCCTCTCCTAAACTTTCCACAATCACACTACCATCATAGGTTGCTGTTTCATCATCTTCATCGTCATCATCGTCATCATCATCATCAGTATATTCATCCTGTGAAAAAAAAATGGTCATATTTCTAGGAACTTTTAGGATACATATCTCTCCTACAGGAATAATCAAATCAATAAACCCTTTAGAAATCAATGTGAATATCCCAATATTTTAAAAAGTTACATATATTGTGCAAATGAAATTTTGACACTAATATCTCATTCTTCATTTTTCATCATTTCAGACATTTTTATCAACTCACATCATCATCATCATATTCTTCATCATTATCCTCATTCGCACTTTCATATTCAGAATTATCTGCAACAAACAAAAATTGGCATTTCAATAAATATGCTGATTACAATTAATGTTTTTCTTTATTTTCAATAGCATGACGATGGAATGAAAAAAAATTCATTCAGAGTTAAATTACATCCTAAGCTGTTTGTCAACATATTAATATACAATATTCTATACACACTTTCCTTAACCGGGAGATTTCTTAAGCCAGTTTACCTAACTGGGAGATTTCTTCTGCCAGTTTACTACGTAAAGTGAATTCAGAAATATCATACTATCATATATAATGCATTTTGAATGTTGTAAAAAAAAAAATTAAATTATGCATCTGACAAGCCACTGGACAGAGTTCTGTAATCTCACATATATAAGTATATTGTATGATATTCACATTTAATTACCACTTTCATTTATGAAAATTTTAAAGTTATTAAAATGACATTTATAAATTGAGTTAATTGTGTTAAATATAAAAGCATACCTCCTCCATCAACTGGCCCCTCTCCTTCACTCTCCTGTAATCAAAGTAGGAGAATAGTTTAGTATGTATTTACAAAGTAACAAATTCAATCTTTACATACAGTGATAAGATTCACAGTTCATTTTATCTGATATCTATTTTCTCAAATCACCACATCCTGATTTCTGATTTTCCACATGGCTTCTCTAGAATTGTTACTTATTAAACCTTCTGATTTATATGTTTGCTGGTTTCTACTATTCATTTACCACTTATGTACTGTATATCAAAGTAAACTCATATGTTGATATAAACTATAAGTTGTGTCAACACATTACTGGATTTACAGAGATTATTTTGTCAATGTAATAAGTCAATAGGATATTTTCAGGTCAATATGTAACAGAGGTCATTATTTATTACATATTCCCTCTCCAGGAAACAATGCATCCTCAAGTTTCCAGGGGTTACAGTGATGCTGGTGGGGCTTGGCTAAGTCCTATTCCCAGATCCCTACATGGGCGCCAAGGTAACAGAGGTCATTATTTATTACATATTCCCTCTCCAGGAAACAATATGTCCTCAAGTTTCCTGGGGTTACAGTGATGCTGGTGGGGCATGGCTAAGTCCTATTCCCAGGTCCCTACATGGGCGCCAATGTAACAGAGGTCATCATTTATTTCAATGCCTCCACAAGGAATCGATCCCGGGACCTCTGGCTTACTAGTCTGATGCTCAACCGCTCGAGCTAAAGAGAATTTCTCTCCACTCAAGTGGTATATTGTGGCTAGTATTTACTGGGGTTACAAATAAATATTGTGCTTGAATGCCAGCTATCCGTTGTTAACAACAGTTTTATAACTTAACAATAAAACTACTTGACAACAAGATTTTTCTCTGAGTTAATAGCCGAATGGCTGCATGCCTTCATTCATTTATGAAAGTGTCTTCGGCACCTTGATGGGGTAACACTAAATACAAGAACAGCATGATCACCTACTAAGAATGGAAACAAAATTTTAAGGACAAGTTGATATATCGATGAGAGTTTATATTGTTTTTCCAATATGATCTAATTAAATCTACAAACTATATAGTAGGGGAGACAGTGACTTCTTTAATTCCAGGTCCATGTCTTAGACCCTTCCTTGGAATGACCCATTTCCATAAAAAACATGGCGGAAGGTAGCAGCATTTTGAAAAATGTTCCCAATAAAATGGCAAAAAACAGCAGTAGGACAGCGTTTTCGTAATGTGAAAATTAGTGACAAAGTGTCACAAAACTGATCCCAATTACACTACTGTATGTGAAATTAAAATTAAAATAAAAGGCATCTTCATTTTGTAAAAAGCTGTATTATCCTACCTTTAGTTACTAAAGTTATAATATATTTTTCGACATGACTCTGCCAACAACGTGTGAAGTGTGCCAAACCTACGGTCAAAACCAAATAATCACATGAATGTTGAATCAATTAATTACCTATTAAAACATCAAACAAGTGTGAAATATTGAGGAGTTATACTAAATTTATTGTAAAACTAAGGCTTATATGAAAAAATAATCCATTTGTGTGATGAGTTTCACAACAAATATCACAGAATAGCATGTTTATGTAAAAGAAAAATATTATGAAAATATAGTAAAGTGTCACAAATGTTTACTTAATTGTTTGAAAAAATGTGAATTTCTTTTTCAGTTTTAGCATTTGCTTAACTGAACTGAGTGACTTCACTAGGTTAGAAAACTTATTTTAAAGGTAGAAAAAATTATCGTGGTAGTATCGCAATAGTCACTTGATTATCACAATAATATCACCATACATGTAGTAAGTTTACAACTGAAATATTATCGTGATAGCTTTTTAGGACTAAATAGTCACCCCTAGTATGGGGTCAGTGAGTTCTTATGTATGAAAATGAAATTTCCTTGAAAGCTTTGATGTTTTTACAAAATAATCTGAAACAACATTATGCTTACTCCAGTATACTAAATCACCTGACAATGCAAAGTGTTCTCTCTAAAGGTTTTGAAATAGTCAGGTGCTCAGGCCATATGACAAGGTACATGTGTCTGTCACTTATTTGATATTCTTATATGCGTGGAAAGAAATAAATAACAAAGAGGTCTAGCGGCCTTGAATGTCACATGAGATATGCAATATTGAATAACAAGGTTAAAAGGTAGTTTTCAAGAGTCATGAAACAGAAATTGTGACACTGAATATAGACAGTGTAAATACATGCATACCATCAAAACTGTCATCCTATACTAATAATTCTGATAAAGTTATTTCCAGAGGGAAATAATCAATGTTATGCTCAAAAATACAATTTTCTATGAAAATTACTGTAAAGTTAAAAAAAAACTTCCTTCCCAGGAAGAAATGTGAGACACATTTTTGGTTATTTAAACACTTGAAGATGCTTCCATTCATATACAGCTTTTAATTCTACCATACCTGGGTGTTGAAAACAAGATTTTTGACATTTAAGTCAATTTGACCCCTACTGGCCCCATCCATCAGCCCCTTTGGGGTCAGTTAGGATCAATATGGGCATACCATCAAGTCGTCCGCCTTTACTTATAAATAATCTAATCAAGTTTGAAAAATTGCCAATGGAAATTAAAGAAATTATACTAAAAAGTCCATTTTTCCTATATAAACTAAAGTAAACTTTACCCCCTCCCTACCAAGAAATGTGAGACCACGTGGCCATGAAATTCACAATTTTGGTAAAGCACCTGAAGATGCTTCCATTCATGAAGAGTATTTGATCCTACCGCATCTGGGTGTTGAAAAGAAGGTTTTTGAAATCCGAGTCAATTTGACCACTTTTGGCCCCACCTCTAAGGCCCCTGTGGAGTGGGAAGTGTATAATTCACAATTTTGGTTCATCTATGGCCAGGAAAGTTTTTTTTCAAAATCACAAATTACCTTATTTGAAAGAGAAATATTGCATCAAATGCGGATTTGACATATTTTACAAAATACAGTACAAACCAAAATAATGGCCCACATTACCACAAAGGAACTCAGGCTGATCCCTGATATATCTATATTTTAATGGGTTGTTCGAGCATAGTCTGTGACTTTCGTCAATAATCTGCCATTACATTGGTGTCACTGCCAGTAATTTAACAACTGTATGTGATCTAACATAGCTGAAAATGTTCATAGTATGTCTCTCCTGTTTGTCTACACAACAATTATTGAAATCATTGAAAAATATATATTCAGATTAAAACAGTCAAAAACTATATTCTGTGGTCGACTAATGGTCAGGTGAGTCTAGCTAAGTAGAAATCCATCGGAATGCAATCCGAGATATACGTAACTCAGGCTTTTACTGGGGTCCACTTTTATTAACCCCGCATGTTTTTAGTATTATTCACATACAACGCATCCCTTACTTTTCACAATAATAAAATGTAATTACGATATTCTGATACTAATGGGACTACGGAATTGATCAATGAAAGATATAAATTTATCGCTGAAACTTGACAAACATAGAAACAATCAGGCTTTTTCCTGCCCGTGCAACCCAATACTTTCCGTGCATAAAATACTAGCGATGTCCCAAACAAGTTTCAGTCATTCACTTGTGATATGTTATTAATTTGTGGTTCATAGAAAGAGTAAATTGATACATTTTCCTAAAGTCAAAGCGTAGGAAAAGCACCGGCCTCGTGCAAACCAAAATCGTCAGAAAATACTGGATTCCACAAATATTTGTGCCGTGATTCAAACAGGAAGGACTCTGTCAACAAAACAAGCTATCTATAGCTATTTCTGAGGCTTACACATTCAGATCGACGCGTTTCAGCTTTCTTAGTCCCGCTTGTTTCTTCGGTTTCGTCTTCACTCTCGCCTTCAGATGGCCTTCGTCGTCTTCTGTCCGCCATTTTTCTTTCAATGGGAGCTCACGCGCGAAGTCTCGCGATATTTTGCACCAACTGTAAATGGATACAGTACAGGTATTCGTCGCTCACCAAGGGCAATTCTTACCTATATTTCGTACTTATCATTTTGTTTTTAAAAGTGAACTGAGATACATCTAAACAAATTATATATAAGAAAATGGAAATTGCTACCAAGAATTAAGTGTTCAAAACACCTTCATACTTTCTCAGCATAGGCTAATTAAAATCTTTTTCCAAAGGATGCTTCTGGGCAATTTTTAGTGGACAGACACCCAACAATACATTATTAGTGGACAGACACCCAACAATACATCATTAGTGGACAGACACTCAACAATACATCATTAGTGGACAGACACCCAACAATACATCATTAGTGGACAGACACCCCACAATACATTAATTGTGGACAGACACCCCACAATACATTATTAGTCCTCCCACCCCTCATTCCTCCCACTCATCATTCCTCCTACCCCTCACTCCTCCCACCCCTCATTCCTCCAACTCATCATTCTTCCCACTTCTCACTCCTCCCACCACTCACTCCTCCCACCCCTCATTCCTCCCACTTCTCACTCCTCCCTCCCCCTCATTCCTCCCACCCCTCATTCCTCCCACTTCTCATTTTCCCACCACTCACTCCTCCCTCCCCCTCATTCCTCCTACCCCTCACTCCTCCCACCCCTCATTCCTCCCACCACTCACTCCTCCCACCCCTCATTCCTCCTATCCCTCACTCCTCCCACCCCTCATTCCTCCCACTTCTCACTCCTCCCTCCCCCTCATTCCTCCCTCCCCCTCATTCCTCCTACCCCTCACTCCTCCCACCCCTCACTCCTCCCACCACTCACTCCTCCCACCCCTCATTCCTCCTACCCCTCACTCCTCCCACCCCTCATTCCTCCCACTTCTCACTCCTCCCTCCCCCTCATTCCTCCCACCCCTTACTCCTCCCACTTCTCATTCCTCCCACCACTCACTCCTCCCTCCCCCTCATTCCTCCTACCCCTCACTCCTCCCACCCCTCATTCCTCCCACTTCTCACTCCTCCCTCCCCCTCATTCCTCCCACCCCTTACTCCTCCCACCCCTCATTCCTCCTATCCCTCAAAAGTCAAACCGGGAACAGACATCAACTCGAGCCTCTATGACAGATCTCCAAACATGTGTTACCAACCAGACCTCTTGTAAATGAATGGTGTCTAAATAGGCAGAATTTGGGACAATATATTGTTGTGAAACAATTTCATTCCCTGTAACAAAATGAGCTGCAGCCGTTACAGGCAAGCAAATGGGAAATGAGAGAGACTCTCTGCTGAAATAACCCCAAAATATTATCTATCTCTGTGATATTAAATGGACTTCCTGTTCCCGCCGAGCGCTAACATGTATCTTATTCATGGTCTGCAATCTCATGTATATTACACAACCCAGTAAGAAAACGGTAAGAAAATAGAATTTAAATGTTTTCAAAATTCTACTACATAAGAAGTAATGATTGTATATTGGACAGTGGAATCATCCCAGGTCACTGATTACAGCTATGAATACAACATAGCTACCACTTAGTGTAGTTTCTTACAAGCAGTGAATATATTATATAACAATACTTCTATCGTTGTCGCCAATATTGTGATAAAACATGAAGATGTATCATATATTGTGACCAGCTGACGTAGTATACAAGTAGACAATAACAATAAAAAAAAACATGTCCGTTTCTATAGCTTGACCAATGAAAACTATGGAGAGTGCTGTGACATACTGTCGCTCATCACCTTCTGTGTGAGTAGACATGATTTACAAGGGACGTCATCTCAACAACTACATTTACAAGGGACGTCATCTCAACACCTACATTTATAAGGGACGTCATCTCTACACCTACATTTATAAGGGACGTCATCTCAACACCTACATTTATAAGGGATGTTATCTCTACACCTACATTTACAAGGGACGTCATCTCTACACTATCATCTCTACATCTAAATTTACAAGGGATGTCATCTCTACACCTACATTTACAAGGGACGTCATCTCTACACTATCATCTCTACACCTACATTTACAAGTGACATCATCTCTACACCTACATTCACAAGGGACATCATCTCAACACCTACATTTACAAGGAACGTCATCTCAACACCTACATTTACAAGGGACGTCATCTCTACACCTACATTTACAAGGGACGTCATCTCTACACTATCATCTCTACACCTACATTTACAAGTGACATCTCTACACCTACATTCACAAGGGACATCATCTCAACACCTACATTTACAAGGAACGTCATCTCAACACCTACATTTACAAGGGACGTCATCTCTACACTGACATTTACAAGGGACGTCATATCTACACCTACATTCACAAGGGACGTCATCTCTACACTGACATTTACAAGGGACGTCATCTCTACACCTACATTTACAAGTGACATCACCTCTACACCTACATTTACAAGGGGTGTCATCTCTACACCTACATTTACAAGGGACGTCATCTCTACACCTACATTTATAAGGGATGTCATCTCAACACCTACATTTACAAGGGACGTCATCTCTACACCTACATTTACAAGTGATGGCATCTCAACACCTACATTTACAAGTGACGTCATCTCTACACCTACATTTACAAGGGACGTCGTCTCTACACCTACATTCAGATGTCATCTCAACACCTACATTTACAAGGGACGTCATCTCTACACCTACATTCATAAGGGACGTCATCTCTACACCTACATTTACAAGGGATGTCATCTCTACACCTACATTTACAAGTGACGTCATCTCTACACCTCCATTTACAAGGGACGTCATCTCTACACCTACATTTACAAGGGACGTCATCTCAACACCTACATTTACAAGGGATGTCATCTCTACACCTACATTTACAAGGGACGTCATCTCTACACCTACATTTACAAGGGATGTCATCTCTACACTATCATCTCTACACCTAAATTTACAAGGGATGTCATCTCTACACCTACATTTACAAGTGACGTCATCTCTACACCTACATTTACAAGGGATGTCATCTCTACACTTACATCTACAAAGGATGTCATCTCAACACCTACATTTACAAGGGACGTCATCTCTACACCTACATTTACAAGGGACGTCATCTCAACACCTACATTTACAAGGGATGTCATCTCTACACCTACATTTACAAGGGACGTCATCTCTACACCTACATTTACAAGGGACGTCATCTCTACACTATCATCTCTACACCTAAATTTACAAGGGATGTCATCTCTACACCTACATTTACAAGTGACGTCATCTCTACACCTACATTTACAAGGGATGTCATCTCTACACTTACATCTACAAAGGATGTCATCTCAACACCTACATTTACAAGGGACGTCATCTCTACACCTACATTCACCACAATAAATAAATCACCACACACTTATATCTGTTTTAAAGTGTTTTTATTTCTTCTGACATGGTACAAATAAATATACTTCAATTCTATCACAATATCAGTATTTCATACTCTGTCAAAAATACTGCAATTCAATGTACTTACATGTTATGGACAGAACGATTAGTTACAGACACATGTAAAAATAAAGATTTGTGTACAAATATTGACCTAATCAACATATACAAAGCCAGTTAATCAGACAGTGTGACTTTAATCTCACATTGATCATCCTAACAGACCAGTGCTTGGAATAAGTGGGAATGTAAAGTGTAGAAGATTCTATTATGTTGTTACGTTCAAAGAAGTATTACAACAATATCACATTTAATTTAATGATGGTGTCCTTTTATCTGCAAAATCAGCATTCTCTATTTTTCTTAATAATTCCTGATTTTTCATAATTACAAAACAGGTCAGTTAAATATGTTATGTCTCCAGGTGGCCATATCTACAAAAAAGTAATTAATTGTTTTTTTTTTTTATTAAAAATTTCAACACAAATTGAATATAGGAAAAGCTGAAAATGACTTACAGTATTCCATAATACATGTAAATGTTGAAATGCATATTTCACAAACAACAAAGAAATTTTTTAACATAAACATGTGTTAAACACTGTTTGATAGAGATGTGTTTAAATCTCTCCTTCAATCAATATCACAGACGGTTACTGCTGAATATGGAGCTAAACAGCAATACAATGATAAAACTGTCTATAAACAAGGCCAAATCAGCTGACTTAATGAAACAATAAAGGTACATAAAGAAAAATATTAACAGTTGAAATCCACAGGAGAGAAAAAATTGTTCTGGGTCTGTATACAGTTCAATAATACAGGGATGTATTGGAAAAACATTTAGTGTGAGATTTAATTCTGTATACCTCACGGGTATTCTTAATCCACACACCCAAAGTCCACAAATCAAAGTGTGAAATATTTGACACGTGTTCCTGATATTGATGGAAAACTGGAATATTATTAAAAAGATTTCTTTTGTAAAAAACAACAAAATTGAACCCCTCATAAATTGATGATATATAATGTATACTATAATACCTTTCCCTACTATATAAACATTTCTGTTAACAGGCAGGTATGTAAGGTATTGTTCTATCTAATCAAAGTTTCAGGTTTGATAAAGGTTAAGTTTAGATCTACCTCATCCATACATCAGACCTGTATAGTTTATTGATCCTACACAAGGAGGAAAAACTTGTTCTGTAAAGTTCTACGAGGTGAGTTAATTCTTACTGACTTCAATCCTGATTTGATATCACAAATATTGTACAGACCTACACAGTAAACACATTTTGGCAATTTGCTGATTACAATATACTGTATAACAGGTCAGGGATTCCCACTGTAAAACATTGCAAATAATCTTTGGACAACAAGATGTATGGATGGATATGTAATTTTGAAGCATTGTCTGTTACAAAAATTACAAAAATATTTTTAACCTGTCCATTAAATTTCCTTATATCTGAATTCAGTTTTCTAACAGAATTGAGAGGTGAATTGGGTATCAGTCTTGAAATGATTTCCTTAAAAAAAATTATGATATATTGTAGGCAGTTCAAGATTTCCCTATCTTAAAGTCTGAAGGAAATCAACATTATACATAAATAAATAAATTTACAAAAAATTGAAGAAACATTTTTAACGATATACTGTACAAACATGACAGTTCTTATTTCAGTATATACATTTTGGACAGAGCACATTTCACAGTCTGAAATAGAAAAATAGCAACTCTATATCTATTACAAATTATTTACAATAGATTTTTTTCTTCACAATTTTCTTTAAAAAATGTTAAATCATTAATCTTTAAAAAAAATGAAGTGAAAAACAATGAAATTCCAGACCAATGATTTGTTTTAAAACAAACTATCACCATTTATTGACTGGTTTAAACATTACTCAAAACTTCTAATAACTTTACAAAATATACATTTAGAACCAAACAAAAGAAATGTTTTCAAAGGTATACAAGGCTCTAACTTTCTTAATATTTTGGGCAAAATTTTATACACATCAATAAAGCTAAGAAAGCATTTGGTACCCATTACAATTATGTTCTAGGTTTTGTACTGGTGCTGTCAAGTCATAACGGACACACACAGAAACAATACTGTTCTTACATCTTACGATAAACCCAGACTGCCAACATCAACCTCCAAGTCAGGAGTGGGCTTATTACAAAACAAAGAAATATTTGTTTAGCAATTCTGTAGATATGCACGGGCTTATTTGCAGGCACAGGCTTATTGCTAAATAAATATGGTAGGTCTGGACCAGCACTTTCAGTTACAAACGATGATCAAAATTCTTGTTTTCACTGATAACAGCACTTCTGTTCATGTAAAGAAAGATTTCAAATTTGTGTCACTATTCTCAGTGCTGCTACGAACCAACACGTTATATTGATGTCAGTGTGATAATCATTGTTAATAACTTGTTCCTGTATGACAACTGGTGCAGAGTCCTTATTTAGCTGCTTTGCTCTGAGCTGAAGCTGTGCGCTTGGGTAAAGCTATAAACCTTGGCCGTGCTGTAATGTTGAACTCTTCCATCAGCGCTTCAGACATGATGTTTAGCAGAGTATTCTCAATCACTGACTCTGCAATATTGCCAAATTCAGGAGTTCTGAAAACAAAAACAAAAAAAACAAAAATGATACAATATTCAGTTTTTTTAAATTTCTAAGTCAAGTTTAAAATAAAACTTGATAAAAATTTAAGCATATAGAAGTTATTATATAGTAATTGAACTTTACAATGTGTTTTCAGTCACTAAATAAAATAATTGAGAGACAACATCAAATAAGTTGGAGCTACATTGCTGTTGCTTTAGAATTCATGACTTTTTTGGATTGCATTTTTACTTCAATTTGAAATATAAATAATTTTAAAATTCTATTTCATACAAACAAATTTTATATAATCATTAATATGTGAATTATAGAAAATAAAATTTGCACATGTCTGTCAGGATGACACTTAGCAGAGTTCCTACCATTAGCACCATAAAAGGAAATGATTATCCGAGGTAAACAAATCGGAGACTTTTGTTTACATCACTAAACATAAGGCTAATCAGTACTAAATAAAATCTTACTTTTTAAGTGTCTGTTTTTGTTTCAGTAGATTCTCTTCTTTGCTAATTTTGTCTATCTCTTCACTGGTCGGTTGTTTCGATCCCATCTGGATTTTCTTCCCTGATTTAGTCGAGGGAGCAGGCTGTGGAATTGAGATAAACAGTCAGTGAAGCCAGTAAGTAATGTACAAAAAATACTCAGTAATTAACTCGTCACCTCTCTCCTTCTGAGGTAAGCTTTTACAGTCATCATACTCAATAAGTAAGTCATCACCTCTCTCCTTCTGAGGTAAGCTTTTACAGTCGTCATACTCAATAAGTAAGTCATCACCTCTCTCCTTCTGAGGTAAGCTTTTACAGTCATCATACTCAATAATTAACTCACCACCTCTCTCCTTCTGAGGTAAGCTTTTACAGTCATCATACTCAATAAGTAAGTCATCACCTCTCTCCTTCTGAGGTAAGCTTTTACAGTCATCATACTCAATAGGTAAGTCATCACCTCTCTCCTTCTGAGGTAAGCTTTTACAGTCGGTAAGTCATCACCTCTCTCCTTCTGAGGTAAGCTTTTATAGTCGTCATACTCAATAAGTAAGTCGTCACCTCTCTCCTTCTGAGGTAAGCTTTTACAGTCGTCGTACTCAATAAGTAAGTCGTCACCTCTCTCCTTCTGAGGTAAGCTTTTACAGTCGTCATACTCAATAAGTAAGTCGTCACCTCTCTCCTTCTGAGGTAAGCTTTTATAGTCGTCATACTCAGTAATTAGCTCTTCACCTCTCTCCTGAGGTAAGCTTTTACTGTTGTCATACTCAGTAATTAACTCGTCACCTCTCTCCTTCTGAGGTAAGCTTTTACTGTTGTCATACTCAATAAGTAAGTCATCACCTCTCTCCTTCTGAGGTAAGCTTTTACAGTCGTCATACTCAATAAGTAAGTCATCACCTCTCTCCTTCTGAGGTAAGCTTTTACAGTCGTCATACTCAATAAGTAAGTCATCACCTCTCTCCTTCTGAGGTAAGCTTTTACAGTCATCATACTCAATAAGTAAGTCATCACCTCTCTCCTTCTGAGGTAAGCTTTTACAGTCGTCATACTCAATAATTAACTCACCACCTCTCTCCTTCTGAGGTAAGCTTTTACAGTCGTCATACTCAATAAGTAACTCATCACCTCTCTCCTTCTGAGGTAAGCTTTTACAGTCGTCATACTCAATAAGTAAGTCATCACCTCTCTCCTTCTGAGGTAAGCTTTTACAGTCATCATACTCAATAAGTAAGTCATCACCTCTCTCCTTCTGAGGTAAGCTTTTACAGTCGTCATACTCAATAATTAACTCACCACCTCTCTCCTTCTGAGGTAAGCTTTTACAGTCGTCATACTCAATAATTAACTCACCACCTCTCTCCTTCTGAGGTAAGCTTTTACAGTCGTCAATAAGTAATCATCACCTCTCTCCTTCTGAGGTAAGCTTTTAATTAACTCAATAATTAACCACCTCTCTCCTTCTGAGGTAAGCTTTTACAGTCGTCATACTCAATAAGTAACTCATCACCTCTCTCCTTCTGAGGTAAGCTTTTACAGTCGTCATACTCAATAAGTAAGTCATCACCTCTCTCCTTCTGAGGTAAGCTTTTACAGTCATCATACTCAATAAGTAAGTCATCACCTCTCTCCTTCTGAGGTAAGCTTTTACAGTCGTCATACTCAATAATTAACTCACCACCTCTCTCCTTCTGAGGTAAGCTTTTACAGTCGTCATACTCAATAATTAACTCACCACCTCTCTCCTTCTGAGGTAAGCTTTTACAGTCATCATACTCAATAAGTAAGTCATCACCTCTCTCCTTCTGAGGTAAGCTTTTACAGTCGTCATACTCAATAAGTAAGTCATCACCTCTCTCCTTCTGAGGTAAGCTTTTACAGTCGTCATACTCAATAATTAACTCACCACCTCTCTCCTTCTGAGGTAAGCTTTTACAGTCGTCATACTCAATAAGTAAGTCATCACCTCTCTCCTTCTGAGGTAAGCTTTTACAGTCATCATACTCAATAAGTAAGTCATCACCTCTCTCCTTCTGAGGTAAGCTTTTACAGTCGTCATACTCAATAAGTAAGTCATCACCTCTCTCCTTCTGAGGTAAGCTTTTACAGTCGTCATACTCAATAAGTAAGTCATCACCTCTCTCCTTCTGAGTAAGCTTTTACAGCTTTTCATCACCTCTCTCCTTCTGAGGTAAGCTTTTACAGTAATCATACTCAATAAGTAAGTCATCACCTCTCTCCTTCTGAGGTAAGCTTTTACAGTCGTCATACTCAATAAGTAACTCATCACCTCTCTCCTTCTGAGGTAAGCTTTTACAGTCATCATACTCAATAAGTAAGTCATCACCTCTCTCTCTGAGGTAAGCTTTTACAGTCGTCATACTCAATAAGTAAGTCGTACCTCTCTCTCCTTCTGAGGTAAGCTTTTACAGTCGTCATACTCAATAAGTAAGTATCACCTCTCTCCTTCTGAGGTAAGCTTTTACAGTCGTCATACTCAATAGGTAAGCTTTTCAGTCGTCATACTCGTCCTCTCTCCTTCTGAGGTAAGCTTTTATAGTCGTCATACTCAGTAATTAGCTCTTCACCTCTCTCCTGAGGTAAGCTTTTACTGTTGTCATACTCAATAATAAGTCTCACCTCTCTCCTTCTGAGGTAAGCTTTTACTGTTGTCATACTCAATAATTAACTCGTCACCTCTCTCCTTCTGAGGTAAGCTTTTACTGTTGTCATACTCAGTAATTAACTCGTCACCTCTCTCCTTCTGAGATAAGCTTTTACAGTCGTCATACCATTAGTTGTACTAAAGAAAATGATTAATCTGCCTATTTAAAAGAAAGTAGGGTCAGATCTGCAGTTATATCTATGATTAAATATGTTGAGGATAGACTATGGCCAAAGCAATAGTGGATTTGATACCATCATCAGACAATGTCAGTAGTGATAGGATTTAAGTGGATGTAAAACCAGGAACCAAACTCTAAAAACATAAGACGGGCAAATTATTGTGGGTGTGGCTCTGTATTAACTATTTACTGACCTGTTTTGAAGATTCCGGAGGTATACTTGTGGGTGTTGCTGGAGTGCTTAGTGTTTTGGGTTCCAGGGTCACATCAACAGAGGACATCGGAGACATGCGGGACTGAGAAGCAGCACTTGACCGTCCACTCTGTTGACCAGTCGGAGACGGACCAGGGTCAGAGACAACTCGTGGCTCCCCAATTTGTCTGTAGTAGGGAATGGCCTCGTTGGTGACCTTCTTCACAGAATCTTGGAAGTAATTGTCATCTAGTAGGCCTCTGTTTGATAGAAAGAAATTTTTTAAACTTTAAGGTATTAAACTGGAATCAAGCATCAGCACTCTAAAAAGTTATAACAAACACATGCTTACAATGTTATAAAAAGTTATAACAAACACATGCTTACAATGTTATAGAAAGTTATAACAAACACATGCTTACAATGTTATAAAAAGTTATCACAAACACATGCTTACAATGTTATAAAAAGTTATAACAAACACATGCTTACAATGTTATAAAAAGTTATAACAAACACATGCTTACAATATTATAAAAGTTAATTAAGATCGAACAATAGAAAATGAATAAGAATCAAAGATATCATTGTTTGATCATTCAATCACTGACATTAAGAAAGACCATGTTATGCTGTTTAAGCTTAAAAACAAACACAAGTGTTAATACTGTAAATAACAAATAGTAAAAAAAATGACTTAAAATGCACTGTTATCACATCTCTACACACAGATACATCTATATTGTGTAAAAATATTGTAACACAACTTGTACTGCTATTAGTATTCACAGACTCGCATGATGGGTAATGTCTCTGTAACATGGTGGGGTATGACGTTCCGTATACAAACCTGAGGACGTTACTTAGAACTCCAGATACCAGCTCTGCTTCTGCCTGTGTACAACTGATCTGGGGAAGGGCCGCATCTGCCTGTTGCTGCTGTTCCCGATCGATGGGTCCTGCCAGCTTCTCACTCAACATTCTATCAAACAATTGAAACACTCAATTTACAAGCAGAAATTCAATATTCTAACCAGTCGGATCATTTACAGTATCGGAATATTAAAATAAAACTTTAAATTTCAAGTTTCCAGTTTGTAGTAATAATTCATTCTTCCATTTATCATACCTGTCTACATAGAAGTTCTTGTATTCCTCCGGGAAGTTGATCTGGAATTCACGGATGTCGTGTGTTCGGGCTGTCAGACCTAAATGGAGTAGGAATGGGTTTGGTGCGACTGGCTTGGCCCACAGCTCAGCCTCTTTCTGATTCTTACTGATCTGCACAGCTTTCTCTTCATCTGGAGACAACTGTTTGATTGGTGGTAATGTCTAAAAAAACAATTCAAATAGAAAATATTAAAAAAGTTCTTCTGCATTGAAATCTTGTAAAATGTCATACCTCTTGTCAACAACAAAATTTCTAGAAAGATAGAAAAATAAAAAAGGGGGCATCACTGGAAACCTGATTTGACTTTATTTGGTCTATTTTAAATAACAAAGGCATATGTCAATTAAAAATACTGTAAATGGAGAGGGAATTTTTTTGAGTGGTTTCTGGTTTTTTTTTTTTTTTATTAATATTTTCAAGAATGGAAAAAAATCCCCTACAAAAAAGATAACTTAAAAGGAATTGATAGCAAAAAACTGTTATCTGTTTCAGGTCTTAATCAAAAATACCTTTACTTCAAGCTTTTGTTAAAACTGGAAAAATTAGCACCAAACATGTAGGTAAGTAACTATTACATATCTGATATATCTTGTTACAGACCACGCCCCACACAGCGTAAATATAATGATTATTTCAAAAGAAGAAAAGATCTGCAAGACCTAAATATCCCCACTCTCATACATATAGGCTATAAGTATCAATGTTTATACAAATTTCTGAAAATAGTAATGGTGCCCTTGACCTTAAACACAAAGTCATGTGACGTATAAGTATTGTCATAGTTGACCTGTAAATAAAGTCTGAACAAAATTCCTGTAGAAGTGAACTCAGTAAGTGATGACCTTGATTTGGGACAGGATGAGACAGGATAGGCACAGGTAGCATTACAAGTCCCTACAACTAAAAATGCACGAGCATGATTGGACCACTTATCAAGTAAATATGATGCCCCTTTTTTCTAAAGTCTATCTCCCATAAAGAATAAATATGATATTCCTTTCTAGAGACTTAAGTCCTCACAATGTTTGTATATTTCTGTAGACTTGCTGCTCCTGTGGTACAAATATAATATTGATTGATTCCCCTTCACAGTAGAAATATAACGCTACAGATCAACATGTATAACATAACAACATCCCCAAACATTGTGTACAGAAGTACCTTATACTTGGTGAGCTCTCCTTCACTCTCGATTCTCTTGTCTTCCAAGGCTTGGAGGCGACTACTTGGTCGTTCCTGTCAAAGATAGAACTAAGGCTTAGGATTGTAATATCCAACATTGGCTGAAGAAACAATTATTTATTTGTAATCTCCTGCGTGTCATTTACATGGCTCTTTCACTAGGTACCAGTCATAAGGAGTCTACATAATGTATTCCAGTAAGCCATTGTGTCAAGTTATCCACAGTTTTAATTGGTCAGTTTACTGTCAATCCTAATCTAATACTTCAGATTTCCTAGTAAACACTTAAAAGTCCCTATTAATCTGTCGTTCAAACATATATGCTACCATGATCACAAATAAAATGTATGTATGTCAGACCGTCGAGTTCCGTGCGATACTTTGAGTAAACGGAGATAATAATTGAAAATATCTACGAGTCCAAACCTTGATATCACTTTTACCTATCTATAATATGTTATCATCAGATTTTACGACTGACACATACCGTAATCTCCACGTTGTTTGGGAGGCGCATATCTGCATCCAAATCATTCTCTGTGATAGTGAACTCGTACTTCTGTCGCTCCCGTTCTTTGTCCCACTTCTGAAGCCGCTGTTTATAGTCTCTCATTTCCACCTCGTCTGTCACCTGACAGGAACAAATTCATCATCACTTTCCACATGATCATATTTTTTCACAGAACCTAAATCACTCTGTCACTGATGATCTACTCTGTTGCCATTCACAGGTACAGAGCACATCAGCATAATATTGGTGGGGGTGGGGACGGGCAGGATTTTGGGACTTATTAGATAATGTTCATGATATAACTGGTAAAACATTTACCACTCTGACAAATCAATCACAAAAATTTTCATCTTGAAATGGATCTACATGATCAGCAATCCCAATTTTAACCATTTATAAGATTTTAACATAAGATTATACTGGCACTAAAAAATTAAGTTTACCTCCTGGGCTTATTACAGGATAAATATGGTAATTCTTAAAACTCACATAAACCCTAAAGATATACCCACCTCACATACAAGGTCAAGGTCATAGAATGATGGGACTTTACAGGCAACAAAGACAATTCTACACATCTTGCTTTCTCCTGGTTCCAAGCGTCCTCGTACCGGAGAGATGGACAGGTACTGAAGTAGAAGTAGGATTTAAGTCACAGGTATGTATAACTATTGGAATCATAGTCTGGTAAAAAAAACTTATATGGCACAATTCCAATTAGATCAATGGATGTGAAATTAAACATCTTTAAATAACATTAATTTTTTTTTCTTTTTTAATGTCATGAATTATACTGTTCCATTTAATCTCTCCCTAAGGTAACAATATTCTAAAGACATGTTACATAATTATGTCTTGTTAAATTTGATCAACTCTTTATTTATAAATCAAACTGTAGTTTAAAGGTTATACAAAACAAATAAAACTGACAAATACCTTTCAATGAAAATTCAGAATTCAGACACACTACGCCCTAAAAATGACTCAAACTTCACCACATCCGTTCATGCTTCAGAATTTGTCAGTTATAGAAGGTGCTTTAAGTTTTTAATCAAGGAGGTGATTTAGGGGAATCAGAAATGGCTGCATTAAATGTTAAAAATGTAGATAGATGAGCTTATTCAATAAATTTCCTAGTTTTGAAGATTGAGTATTTTCATCTGAATATCTATTTGAAGAAAGAATAGACAGATGATATTACTGTTTACTAAACTTACTTGACTGTCTGCCTGTGCTGTGACATGCCATTCAAAGGACACATCTCTGTCACGTGATTTGTTGATGACAAACACGAGCTGTCTAGCTCTGCTGAACAGCGGCATGTTGCCAAAGGAGAGCCTTTCTTGAGACAGATATGCCAGCTATAGAAAAAACAACAGAGCGTTAGGCAAGACAATGGAGATAACCTCACATGGTTTGAGTTTTTCATCAGCAATAAAATTTCTTTCAACAATAAACAAAAATTGTTAATTAAAAAATGTATGTTTTAAAAAATTGAAAACATGTGAAATGGAAAGCTTATCAATTGCTTTAGAGAATAACTGTTTCCAACAAGAAATTAGCACATATTTCTTTTCACATAACAATGAACTGAACAAAAACTAAACAGTACAAGCATTATAATGAGTTCATTTTGTCAATTTAGCATTATAATAAAGATATACCAGGTAACATGATGATAAACATCTGTCTGTCTAGGTAACATGATGATAAAGATTTACCTGTCCAGGTAACATGCTAATAAACATCTACCTGTCTAGGTAACATGATGATAAACATCTGTCTGTCTAGGTAACATGATAATAAACATCTACCTGTCTAGGTAACATGATAATAAACATCTGTCTGTCTAGGTAACATGATAATAAACATCTGTCTGTCTAGGTAACATGATAATAAACATCTACCTGTCTAGGTAACATGATAATAAACATCTGTCTGTCTAGGTAACATGATAATAAACATCTACCTGTCTAGGTAACATGATAATAAACATCTGTCTGTCTAGGTAACATGATAATAAACATCTACCTGTCTAGGTAATGATAATAAACATCTGTCTGTCTAGGTAACATGATAATAAACATCTGTCTGTCTAGGTAACATGATAATAAACATCTACCTGTCTAGGTAACATGATAATAAACATCTGTCTGTCTAGGTAACATGATAATAAACATCTGTCTGTCTAGGTAACATGATAATAAACATCTGTCTGTCTAGGTAACATGATAATAAACATCTGTCTGTCTAGGTAACATGATAATAAACATCTGTCTGTCTAGGTAACATGATAATAAACATCTACCTGTCTAGGTAACATGATAATAAACATCTGTCTGTCTAGGTAACATGATAATAAACATCTGTCTGTCTAGGTAACATGATAATAAACATCTGTCTGTCTAGGTAACATGATAATAAACATCTACCTGTCTAGGTAACATGATAATAAACATCTGTCTGTCTAGGTAACATGATAATAAACATCTGTCTGTCTAGGTAACATGATAATAAACATCTGTCTGTCTAGGTAACATGATGATAAACATCTGTCTGTCTAGGTAACATGATGATAAACATCTTTCTGTCTAGGTAACATGATAATAAACATATGTCTGTCTAGGTAACATGATAATAAACATCTGTCTGTCTAGGTAACATGATTTTTAACATCTGTCTGTATAGGTAACATGATAATAAACATCTGTCTGTCTAGGTAACATGATAATAAACATCTGTCTGTCTAGGTAACATGATAATAAACATCTGTCTGTCTAGGTAACATGATAATAAACATCTACCTGTCTAGGTAACATGATAATAAACATCTGTCTGTCTAGGTAACATGATAATAAACATCTGTCTGTCTAGGTAACATGATAATAAACATCTGTCTGTCTAGGTAACATGATAATAAACATCTGTCTGTCTAGGTAACATGATAATAAACATCTACCTGTCTAGGTAACATGATGATAAACATCTGTCTGTCTAGGTAACATGATAATAAACATCTACCTGTCTAGGTAACATGATAATAAACATCTGTCTGTCTAGGTAACATGATAATAAACATATGTCTGTCTAGGATAATAACATGTAACATGATAATAAACATCTACCTGTCTAGGTAACATGATAATAAACATCTGTCTGTCTAGGTAACATGATAATAAACATCTGTCTGTCTAGGTAACATGATAATAAACATCTGTCTGTCTAGGTAACATGATAATAAACATCTGTCTGTCTAGGTAACATGATAATAAACATCTGTCTGTCTAGGTAACATGATAATAAACATCTGTCTGTCTAGGTAACATGATAATAAACATCTGTCTGTCTAGGTAACATGATGATAAACATCTGTCTGTCTAGGTAACATGATAATAAACATCTGTCTGTCTAGGTAACATGATAATAAACATCTACCTGTCTAGGTAACATGCTAATAAAGATCTACCTGTCTAGGTAACATGATAATAAACATCTGTCTGTCTAGGTAACATTTACCTGTCCAGGTAACATGATAATAAACATCTACCTGTCTAGGTAACATGATGATAAAGATTTACCTGTCCAGGTAACATGCTAATAAACATCTGTCTGTCTAGGTAACATGATAATAAACATCTGTCTGTCTAGGTAACATGATGATAAACATCTGTCTGTCTAGGTAACATGATAATAAACATCTGTCTGTCTAGGTAACATGATGATAAAGATTTACCTGTCCAGGTAACATGCTAATAAAGATCTACCTGTCTAGGTAACATGATAATAAAGATTTACCTGTCCAGGTAAAGGTACACTCTGTATACTAGGTACTCCTGTCAGATCCTGCTGGTCAGAAATGGGCATGGTGTCTCCCATGACACGGCGGTCATATCCGACCCCAGTAAAGGTCACGATAGCTGTGTCCCCATTATGGACATGTATAGGAACATCCACCTAAAAATCAGATTTTTTACAGTTACATAGAAATTCAAGTTTTCAAAAAATATGTGCTCAATTTTCCAAATAATTATCACTGAGTACGTGTTTTCAGCCGAATCAAACTGAGCATTTTTCTAATATTTCAAAATATTTTGTTTCCAGGACGACTTCTTTTTGTTTCCAGGACGACTTCTTTTTTTATATAAAATTTAAAATTTAGACAAGTATTCTTATGGCTTTGATCAGACATTAACACAAAACTTACCATATAAGTTTTAGCTTCAATGGGTGAGAACCGCCAGTCCACAGCCAGTGTTCGACCAGGTTGAATCTCTCCAACAGGGTTTAGGCATTCAAAGATGGGCTGGTCGTAATTCTCCTGTAGAAATACCATAATGTATTAACATTTTAAAGAGCTCTACTAAAACAGTGACAAAATTTGGCATTAAATATTGTTTTTTGTAAATAATTTTTTTCCTGATGCAGTAATATGCAATCAATAAATCTGTTTTACTGTACAGGTCACTGCCAGAAAGAGTACTTACCTTTTTCAGAAGATCCAAAGGTGCCAGATCAATATGGAACTTGACAGGTACAGCTCCACCGTTGTACATATCATATGTCTACAAGACACACAATTATTTCATTTAAACATAAGCAACTGTTAACAGAAATTTATCTGAATGACAAAATCAATATAGATCCTAAAGTCACTAATAGTAATGATTTTCCCATCCAATTATCTTCAGTATTTCAATATTCTTAACTTTATCCAAATTTATGCAGTGATCAATTTCATTTTCTTGATATTCCAAAAAGTTCACAAATTGCAGGCAATTATATTTTTGGTAAATTTGATTATTTTTACATTATAATGAATACCTTGAAACCCATTTTGCCTTTTGTTGTTATGTCCTACCTATGTATATGTCTTACCTGTTTAGGGGCGTTCTTCTCTCCCACAGGGATTGGAGTAAACATGTGTTTATTGGATGGGAAATGAATATACCTCCTCTCTGGCTCTACCGTCACACCAACAAAGTTTAGCTGTAAAAACATCAATACATTTCTTTAAATGTCTTCAGTAATTATTTTTTTTTTACAAAATATAAATTATGTTAAGAAGAAAATGCTGCAAGAATGAAACAGATACTGTAAAGAACTAACCAAGATTTCCCGTCCACGAGCCAGCTTCAGTAGGACTGGGAGTCGATCTGTACCCGCCATGGTGTGTTTGTATGTAAGGGTGACAGTTTTGCATTCTCCAGGAGCCAACTTGCCAGTTTTAGGTTCAATTGTGAATAGCTTGTTGTCCATCACCTTCATCTGAATGTGTAAACAAACATATTGATACTACTACATAATCAGTCTCTATTTAGGACAACATCAATCTCTTTGCTGCCCATGTTAGACAGACAGTGAAGACGGATTTTAGCAACAGAAAGTTGAAGTACCAATGAAAGCAGTATATGTAGTTTCCAAAATTTGGGGAAGAAATCTATTCAGGTATTTCAAAAGAACTCCTTTAATTCATAGAAACAACTTGGAACAAAATCATCTTTGTGATATTTCTATGTAAACAAACAGTGAATACAATTTATATATACAGGTAACAACTTTGAGATTTTAAAAATGTTTACTTAATACTGATAAAAAATAATTTAAAATCCTTATACATGTAACAACTTTATTTACTAGTGACCTTGACCTAGTACTGACCTCGTGGAGTTCATCTTCATCAAACTCTCCAGTCTCTGCCCAGTACTCTAGCTCCAGTTGAAGGTCAGCAGGGAACAGGAAAGCCCTAGTAACAGACCAGATCATGTCCGTTATATAAACATTAAAATCTTTTGGAGTAAATTCTGGTTTTTATGATGACTTAATTGATGTAGATAGATGTGAAATTTGAAAAAGCAGTGATAATTTTATTTTCTTAATTTCAAATTTATATGTAATTAATTTGTATAACTTACCACTCAGTAGCGACAGTGCCAGAGTTCTCGAACATCAAATTCACAATACAAGGGTCACTGTTGAGTGGAGCGGAGCTGAAGTTGAAGTCAAGGATAGCCCTGGTGTAGACTGGAGGACGACGACTATGGCTGAAACAAAACATAACAAAAACATCAAATAACAGAACACAAAGCAATCAAATATGTGAAAATGAGAAATCTTGTTTAAAATTTTCTTCATCATAATAAAGTCAACCATACAAAATTATCCATGAGAAATTATGAAACACACAAACACAAGCTAATCAACAAAAGTTCATTAATCTTTTTCCTTAAAAGAAAATTCAACTAAATACCTGTGTCTGGTTGCCACACTGTATCTTAATTCTTCTGAAGAGGGATCCGAGTCCAGACTGACATTCAAACTAAAAAAAAATTAAATTGGAGACCAGCGTCATATATAACAGCAAATTGCATTACTTTCAATAATTGAAAAGTCAGAATGTTTTCACTTTTTGGTGGAGCTACTCAATATTTTTGTGTGAATGGAATCATGAGATCCGCTACCTAATCAGAGATCTAACAGAATTTATAGAACATCACCCTCGTTCTGATTACAGAATTAAGTTTTATGAGATTCAGATAGATATTACCCTGTTTTCATTTTAATGTAAAACCATCAGAATATCAGTTTCCCGTACTCCAACAATATTTGGGGTTTACCCAGAGAGAAACTCATGAGAGGTAGCGAGCACAGTAACATCAGATAATCAACTGGTTGACCAACAAACTCTTCTCTTATGTGTTTCATCATGATCATAAAAAAAACACACAGTTTCAATACTTACTTGTCCAGTGAAAATAAACCCCACAATTGTTTTTTACTGATGCCAATAGCACTACCATAACAGCGTGCATCAGTGACACACATGAATGGGAAAACTCCTGTTGTCAGCACATGACACAGATGTTGTGGCTCTTTTGCTGCATTGTGGGTAATTGTACCTACAACACAAAAGATACTTTATAGATATTGTCAACATATAATTTTCTTTTTGAAATAGAAGGAAATTTTTTGTCAAATCTGGCAATGATAAGATATACTTCAGCAGCTTTTATCAAACTATCGACAAAGTCTGATGAAATCTCTTACCCTCAGGTGTAATTAATTGATAGGAGATGGCAAATTGGTAGGTTGACCTCCGAACCGGACACACGGACGCCATGATGGTCTGTTTGGATCTTGCTGGCAAGATACCCTCAGTCTTTTCGAGTATCAGAGCTGAAAAGTGGGAAACCTGATTAGTGTTGGGTATTAAACATATCATGATACATATATCATGATGTATCTTAAATGACACAGAACTAACACCAGTGAACTATGGAACAAAGGAAAATGTGTTCTTACCGATTTTGTCATCGCGTGTCACCTCCTCAGGATAAGGTCCATCCAAAGTTTGGTCAATAAAAAGCTTGTAATGAAGGGAACAAGAACTGTCATTGGTGATGACGATGGTCTTGGAGGCCGAACTCCCGACCACAACATCTCCAAAGTCAAGGTAAGCTTGCTCTGCCTGGAGAAATAAAAATCAGGGTTCATGTAAGGAAACACTTTATCACTGATCACTATAAACATCACACAGCTTTGACTGATCATCAAAAACATCACACAGCTTTGACTGATCATCAAAAACATCACACAGCTTTGATTATTCACCATAAACATCACACAGCCTTGATAATTCACCATAAACATCACACAGTTTTGATAATTCACCATAAACATCACACAGCTTTGATAATTCACCATAAACATCACACAGCCTTGATAATTCACCAAAAACATCACACAGCCTTGATAATTTACCAAAAACATCACACAGCCTTGATAATTCACCATAAACATCACACAGCCTTGATAATTCACCAAAAACATCACACAGCCTTGATAATTCACCAAAAACATCAAACAGCCTTGATAATTCACCAAAAACATCACACAGCCTTGATAATTCACCAAAAACATCACACAGCCTTGATAATTCACCAAAAACATCACACAGCTTTGATAATTCACCAAAAACATCACACAGCCTTGATAATTCACCATAAGCATCACACAGCCTTGATAATTCACCAAAAAATCACACAGCCTTGATAATTCACCAAAAACATCACACAGCCTTGATAATTCACCAAAAACATCACACAGTTTTGATAATTCACCAAAAACATCACACAGCCTTGATAATTCACCATAAACATCACACAGCCTTGATAATTCACCAAAAACATCACACAGTTTTGATAATTCACCAAAAACATCACACAGCTTTGATAATTCACCAAAAACATCACACAGCCTTGATAATTTACCAAAAACATCACAGAGATTTAATTGATCACCAAAAACATCACAGCTTTGGTTTATTAAATGTAACACTCTGACTGGTCTCCTAGTTCACTTTTGTCTAACAGAATTTTCCAAGTTTCTGACCACAAGAGTTCAAATGTCCAGATTGGACAGATTTAGATTTGATGAAAAAAAGCCTTTTCAGATTCAGCAAACATTAAGATTGAAGAACTGTTATCTCAAAGTTGACGGAACTGTGGGAAAACTTCAAGTTTTCTGAGTATTTGAAGTAAGTTAGAATATTTAGTGTGAAGTTTGGCTGGGACTGATGAAATAATTAAATTAAACAGGGTTTTCAAGCTACAAGAGTCTGAGTTAATGATGTTCAGTTGTGTGTACTCTCTTCATTCTGTAAAGTCCATTTACCTTGATATCACCCAAGGTTCCTTCCCCTACAGCACGTACAGCAAACTGCTTCTTCTTTCCCCCAGACGAGCTACTACTGAATCCCTGACCCCACACGATAAGAGAGGGCTTCATCACAAACTTCTTCTCAGCATCAGGAACAAACGACCATTTCTGACACTAAATAAAGAAATGTCTCTGTTTATTCCTTATTTCATATTCAAATTTTCATTGTTCATATAAATTTGTTGTTAACGATCAAAATGTATTTTTCTATCAAAGTTAAAAATATATAGTTTCGTTAAAAGAAATTCTTCTTGTTTGAGTGTTTATCTGAGTGTTTAGTGGGTGACAAATAAATGTTATTCTGTACATGGTGTCACATATTTGAGTTTCAATGAGATGGTCACTAATATTGAGTAACATACCTGAGTTTTCAGTGAGTGACACATACATTCCTTATATGTTGTCACATATTGAGTATCATTGAGTTACATAATGATAATGCTCACCAACATTGAGTAACATAATGATAATGCTCACCAACATTGAGTAACATACCTGAGTTTCATTTGGCTGTATAATCCCTCTGTCAGGTGTTACTGTCAGGAGTTTTCTGTCAGCGTGTTTTAAATGCCACTCATACCTGTAAATCACACAGCAGGTTATTACCAAACAAACAACTAAATTTATAATGTAAAATGACTTACAAGATCCCCTACTAAGGAAGCCCAGTCAGTGTGGTGATATCTCACTGGTATCATTAACAGATTGTTTAAAGGTAAGAAACAGTATATAGGATGGAACAGAAGTGGTGATTAAAAATCTTACTAATGAAGTTATTTTACACAGTTTAGTAGATATGTTCTGGAAATGATGGAATAAGTGAATTTGACATCTTTTTCTGTGATTAACAAAGAAATATCAAAACTGAAAGCTTCAGCAGAAAACATCACTTCACCATTTGATTGATGCGTGTAAGAAGTTTGATGGAATCATTGAAAAAGGGTGTTTGAGATATACACTGGAAATGCTTACATTCCTTTCATAGTAACAATATTAAAATAGAAAACTCCTCCCTACCAGAAGGCACTACGTGATCACTGAGCAAAAAAATTCAAAACAGTAATCATATCTTATCTAGTGTGTAACTGTACCTTACCGGAGTAACTATATGTTACCATAGTAACAACATCTTACAAAACTAACAGTCTTACCTGAGTAACTATATGTTACCATAGTAACAACATCTTATATAACTAACAGACTTACCTGAGTAACTATATGTTACCATAGTAACAACATCTTACATAAGTAACAGTCTTACCTGAGTAACTATATGTTACCATAGTAACAACATCTTACATAACTAACAGACTTACCTAAGTAACTATATGTTACCATAGTAACAGCATCTTACATAGGTAACAGTCTTACCTGAGTAACTATATCTTACCTGAGAGGAATACGGGACAGGTTCTTAATTGTGTAAGATTTACATGATGCAGTTCCGATACAGGTTTGTTTGAAGAACATGTTTCCTTCTGTATCCAGGAGAACAAGAGGAGCTTCAGCAGATCCCCACAGCTGGATAGACTGTAGGGACAAAAGTTACAGTTAAAGTACAGATCCCCACAGCTGGATAGACTGTAGGGACAAAAGTTACAGTTAAACTACACAGTCTCACAGCTGGATAGACTGTAGGGACAAAAGTTACAGTTAAACTACAGAGTCTCACAGCTGGATAGACAGTAGGGACAAAAGTTACAGTTAAACTACACAGTCTCACAGCTGGATAGACTGTAGGGACAAAAGTTACAGTTAAACTACAGAGTCTCACAGCTGGATAGACTGTAGGGACAAAAGTTACAGTTAAACTACAGATCCCCACAGCTGGATAGACTGTAGGGACAAAAGTTACAGTTAAACTACAGATCATCACAGCTGGATAGACTGTAGGGACAAAAGTTACAGTTAAACTACAGATCATCACAGCTGGATAGACTGTAGGGACAAAAGTTACAGTTAAACTACACAGTTAAACTACACAGTTAAACTACACAGTCTCACAGCTGGATAGACTGTAGGGACAAAAGTTACAGTTAAACTACAGATCCCCACAGCTGGATAGACTGTAGGGACAGTTAAACTACAGATCCCCACAGCTGGATAGACTGTGGGGACAAAAGTTACAGTTAAACTACAGATCATCACAGCTGGATAGACTGTAGGGACAAAAGTTACAGTTACACTACACAGTCTCACAGCTGGATAGACTGTAGGGACAAAAGTTACAGTTAAACTACACAGTCTCACAGCTGGAAAGACTGTAGGGACAAAATTTACAGTTAAACTACAGAGTCTCACAGCTGGATAGACTGTAGGGACAAAAGTTACAGTTAAACTACACAGTCTCACAGCTGGAAAGACTGTAGAGACAAAATTTACAGTTAAACTACAGAGTCTCACAGCTGGATAGACTGTAGGGACAAAAGTTACAGTTAAACTACACAGTCTCACAGCTGGATAGACTGTAGGGACAAAAGTTACAGTTAAACTACACAGTCTCACAGCTGGATAGACTGTAGGGACAAAAGTTACAGTTAAACTACAGATCCCCACAGCTGGATAGACTGTAGGGACAAAAGTTACAGTTAAACTACAGATCATCACAGCTGGATAGACTGTAGAGACAAAAGTTACAGTTAAACTACAGATCCCCACAGCTGGATAGACTGTAGGGACAGTTAAACTACAGATACCCACAGCTGGATAGACTGTAGGGACAAAAGTTACAGTTAAACTACACAGTCTCACAGCTGGATAGACTGTAGAGACAAAAGTTACAGTTAAACTACAGATCCCCACAGCTGGATAGACTGTAGGGACAGTTAAACTACAGATCATCACAGCTGGATAGACTGTAGGGACAAAAGTTACAGTTAAACTACAGATCCCCACAGCTGGATAGACTATAGAGACAAAAGTTACAGTTAAACTACAGAGTCTCACAGCTGGATAGACTGTAGGGACAAAAGTTACAGTTAAACTACAGAGTCTCACAGCTGGATAGACTGTAGGGACAAAAGTTACAGTTAAACTACACAGTCTCACAGCTGGATAGACTGTAGGGACAAAAGTTACAGTTAAACTACAGAGTCTCACAGCTGGATAGACTGTAGGGACAAAAGTTACAGTTACACTACACAGTCTCACAGCTGGATAGACTGTAGGTACAAAAGTTACAGTTAAACTACACAGTCTCACAGCTGGATAGACTGTAGGGACAAAAGTTACAGTTAAACTACAGAGTCTCACAGCTGGACAGAATGTAGGGACAAAAGTTACAGTTAAACTACAGTCTCACAGCTGGATAGACTGTAGGGACAAAAGTTACAGTTAAACTACAGAGTCTCACAGCTGGATAGACTGTAGGGACAAAAGTTACAGTTAAACTACAGAGTCTCACAGCTGGATAGACTGTAGGGACAAAAGTTACAGTTAAACTACAGAGTCTCCAACAGGGAAAAAGAGAAAACTACAATTGGGTTTTTTATATCAGAACATTTTCTTATAATGTTAAGGCAGGTAAAAATTCTGAACTATTCATGTATAATAAGAACAACCATCAAGCAGAAAATCAAATCAATTTTACCATCTTAAAATATGATATGAAGAGATAAGAGAAATGAGGGCACACTGACAAAACTTTTTTTACCTTGTTGTATTTTTCATTGTCATTAAGTTTAAAGTTAAGGGCATGTTTATAGGTCTTCACTTCCGGTGGTGTGATCTTCACTACAAAGATCTGATGCTCGCCCTTCAGTAATGCTTTGGCGGGCTTCACAGCATAAACACTGTCCAAAAATAAACAGGTGCGTGTTGTAATTATACACACTGTCCAAAAATAAACAGGTACGTGTTGTAATGAAATGTTTGCATCACAACAAAAATCTGAACTCCCAAAATATTTTCAGAAAAAACTCCATACAAAAACATTGTTCAACGACCAAATTAAGTGTTTGTGATTTTAACTAAGTTGGGATTAGTAAAATATTATGATGTTTCTCATGAAAACATTTAAACACTAAAAGGATAAAAATAAATCAAATAATGTGTTACAAAATGTTGCTAAAATGTAAACTTCTAATGACTTCTAATGACTTACCAGGTTGGATCTTTCTCCACATCATAGAATATAGGAGTGGTGCCATTGTTTGTGAGGAGGAGAGTGCGATATGTGGATTCTTTTGTGTTCACAGCAGGGAATGTAAGGCGCTGTACATCCAGATTCAAACGTGGCAGGAATGTTTCATTATTTGGCTGGAATGTATGACCTATAAAAACAACAATAATGTCACAACCTCATATCTCATTGTAGAATCATCTTTATCATTGATTATATTGTTTCTAACAGGAATCACATCGCAGTATATTTTTGACGATGTAAAAACATGAAACAAGGAAATCATCAAATTTTGTGCCCTTTGACAAGCTTGGCTATTGTCATTTCAAAGATGTTGAAACCAGTCATTTACATGTACAGGTGAGAGTGTAAAGTTAATTTACTTGTCCAGGTGAGAGTGAAAAGTTAATTTACTTGTCCAGGTTAGAAGTCTAGCTTACCTGTACAGGTGAGATTGTAAAGTTAATTTATCTTTACAGGTGAGAAAGTAAAGAACAAATTTACTTCTCCAGGTGAGAGTGTAAAGTCAGATCTACTTGTCAATGTGAGAAGTTAGCTTACCTGTACAGGTGAGAGTGTAAAGTAAAATTTACCTGTACAGGTGAGAGTGGAGCACCATGGAGGACAATGTGTTGTATCCTCCACCAAACGGTAGTCTCTCAGACTCTTGTAGTAAGTATAACATTCTAACTCCGCGCCATAAAACTGGTTAGGGGCATTCTGTAGGATTAAAAACCAATGATAACATAAGTATTACATCAATTGTATATCAGACTGATAAAATTTAATCGTTTTCTCCTTGTTTTAATATCTTTCCCACATTTTGATAATTATTTTTAGCCTTAGAATTACATAAACAGTCACTGCAAATAATATTGTGAACCTTTAAAATTGTTACAATCTTCAGTTTTCCATGAAGTGAATTTTCACTAACAAGCATTGTTTGCTTTTCAAATTAGCTTTTTGCTGTGTTTGTATACATATATATTCTTCTGCCAGAAGCTGACTGCCAGTACATTAACATACAATTATACAGTAGAAAGGCACTTACAGGCTTGAAGGACACTTGGAATGCACAGGATTTCAGGGGAGGAATGTCCATCACAGATGGTGTCACATAGAAAGTCCTATCTGAACCTGAAACACCATGGGTCTTTTAGTCACTTTCATAACAACTCAATACACAGGATAAATGTAAATTTCAAGGTATTTTTTTCAAATCCTGTTATTTTCTGTTTAGTAACTGAAAGACTAACATCTAAATCTTCCTGTATCACAGTTGTATCAACAAAATCAATGAACTTATATATTGTTCTATGGTTTTCTTTAATTTTAGCATTTTAATCAGAATTTTAATCAGACACATAGCTATGACTGTTTTCCTGATGTATAGTTTATATAAAATTCTACAATAATGTTTGGTAAAACATTTTCTTCAATTATTTACAAAAAGAAAACATACACATATCATGAAGCTATTTCTATATTTTCCATTTATATAAGATCTTATCTGAGGTGATCTGAGTTTTTTCAGGTCAATGATATCACGAGAAATATCTTTTAAATTTTCCATACCAATATGTAGTGTTATATAACATAGATATGATTTGTGATGTCAACTTACCCCCAATCCACTGGACAGTGACTTTACCATGGGTGTGATTTGTAACATTCAGGAGCTGTTTGATAACAAAACAAAAGTCATTAATCTATCAAAGTCCATGATTCAAACTACAATCTATTAACAGAAACAACAATGTGGAATAAGAGTAGATTTAATCAAAAGGACAAAATGTTCGAGATCAATACATGTATATGTCATAGGTAATTTATAAGGTTGACTGCAGAATTTGTAAACACCAGGAAAACAGCAACCATAAAAGAAATGATTAGAATAAATGTCTGAATGATATAATGATGGGCTGTGTTGATATTGTACACAGAATATTTACACTAAATCTACAGGTTTAGAAAAGTGGGTCCCTAGCTTTAAATCTTCTCCAGACTTCCTAGGTTTTAGGTTTAGATCAGTTTCATAGGATTCTGGTATTGAACGTAAAGACTTGGATGAAAAATTCTACAAAATGACAGAAGCCAGAACAGAGGACCAAGATGTTGTCTAAAATTCTTTTAAAAAATCCCACAAAACCACCAGATACAACAATTACAAAGTGAATTAAATGTTTATATTGTCTGTTATAATATTGATTTGATATAAAGATCACAAACATGTTGTATGTGGTAGTAGTCCTTACCTTGTCTTCTACCAGTCGAATGTTCTGACATTTTCCAAAGTCAACGTTGTTTATGTCCATGCTAATATGGGGTACGAATTGCTGGAATAACGAAAGACAATAAACATTAAAGATTTATTGAATATAAAACATGGGAAGTGACATAAAAATACTGTGTGACTGAGGTACTTCAGATAGGCTTAACGCTGACTTTATGTATACAGTATTCTGACTGACATCCTGTTTACTAGGACTGTGCCAGACAGAACAACAGATATCTACATTTATATCTAAAACACAAAGTCAATACACTCCTGAAAGAATTTTCTTCCAAAATCAAAATTTACTTTATACCATAAAAACGATTACATAGTATTTAAAACTCACCACCACGTCGCTATGGTAACCATCATTAAAATACTGGTCCATGACGGGAAGTTCTTCTGGTACAGTCACGGTTTTGTCCACCGACTCTCCCTGTCAATTATATCACGGATTTATATAGACCACAGAAATAACAGTGCCAAGCTTATAAAAAATATTTTCTAATACTCTTATAGACAGGAAATAAAGCACCACACTTGTCTGTAAAATCAATACAGTTCATAACTTTACACATTAACTTAGTTTCCGATGATCTTTTAAAAATATTATTTCTAAAATAATATCCCTCTCATCAAAATTTTACGTTACATAGTTTTGTTAGAAAAGATAATACATTGTATGTGATTTTATCAGTAACTATGGTAACATATCAGATAACAGTTAGCAGTTTCACATGGGGTGAATTGTATGTGATTTTATCAGTAACTATGGTAACATATCAGATAACAGTTAGTAGTTTCACATGGGGTGAATTGTATGTGATTTTATCAGTAACTATGGTAACATATCAGATAACAGTTAGTAGTTTCACATGGGGTGAATTGTATGTGATTTTATCAGTAACTATGGTAACATATCAGATAACAGTTAGTAGTTTCACATGGGGTGAATTGTATGTGATTTTATCAGTAACTATGGTAACATATCAGATAACAGTTAGTAGTTTCACATGGGGTGAATTGTATGTGATTTTATCAGTAACTATGGTAACATATCAGATAACAGTTAGTAGTTTCACATGGTGTGAATGAGGCAATTATTTCCAAAATATTATAGAGAAGATTTAAGGTTGAAGACCTAGACATTTCTACAGAACAAGGACATATACACATCCTATTGAAATAAGGAAAAAGTATTACACACAAAAAATACAGTCTGATCCAGAATATCATTCCTTCGTAAACAATTCACTTATTTAATGGTGAAATGTGACTTTTTGTGATATTGGTATTGGACTGCCTTTATCACTGCTAATTATAGCTTTAATGGTGATTTATTATTGTTATACCATATAAAATATCTAAAACGTTATACATACAAATATATACATATATCTACATATATATCTACATATTTCATCAAGACAAAAAAACATAATATTCTTGGCTTGCAAATTTTAATTTCTAAATTTCCTACTATGTTTCTTAATATATTTTCTGAACAAAAATGAATTGAAATTCAATAAAACAAGGACAGCTATTTCTTTATCATAATGATGCCTGGTAAAATGAATTCTACACTAGCAGGTTGGCCTACAATGCAAACATATAAATTGTAATAACCCCAGATCAACATGTAATCACTACGTCAAAAATACATAGCGGACTAAATTACAGAAAATGGAAATAACGTTTGTTGGTATTTTAACTGAACTTCCAAAGGAAATGATTATGTCATTACCAGGCCCGGGCTTATTGTTGGAACAGTCGACCAGGTACACAACGAAGAGGAGAAACTATTTACTATAAATAACTAACTACATTTTATAGTCAAAGTGGTTCAGCCAGGCTTTAGAAATTACATGTACTCTACAGGTTTACTCCGCTTAAAATCATTCAACACCAATTAGACTTACAAATTTCAAATATTAAATGATTTAACAAAAGATACCATTCTCTTAAGTAACATTCATAAGCTGACAAAAACAATTAAAAAGCAATTGAATTCCAAGAAATTCTTTGGTACTCAAATTGAACTCAAAACTGAATTTCAAGAAATTTGTAAGTCCAGAATTGACAAAATTCTTTACCCCATCTGGAATTATGATTTTCACAGGCCAATCCTGAGCAAGTGAGAAAATGGAGGAGGGTCATGAAAATGAAAGAAAGATGTGTTAGATAAAAAAAATCACTCGTGAGCAGAAATTCAAACACTTGTGAGGGATTCAATGATACACTCACACTGCCACAGATTACCTCCCCTTAATTACACACACTGCCACAGATTACCTCCCCTTAATTAATCTGTTGGTATCCTGATCAAGTCACCAAGCAAATCAGATGAGCATTTGGCACATATTTTTCTGACTTCAAATTTACAACCAATGAAACCCTTGTCAGTTAAAAGTTTGGACATTTTGTGTAAGGGGAGGTAATCTGATGTTATATATTTATTTATAAACATGCTTGATATTAGTTTAAGTTTAATAAAACTTGATGTAATTGTATTAGTGATCACAAAAATGTGTAATTCACAGCATTCCTGGTGAAATAGTGAATTCCTAGAAACTATCAATTATAACATGTAAGAGATCTGAGAGCAGAGTATCACAGTATATTTGGTAATTATGTGTACCTAGCCAACGATTTTTGTTCAACTTTGGCTCTGTAACTAAATAAAATAGTATGTACCTATATATATCCATATACAAAATGTACTTAGCAAGTTTGGGAACAATTCAGCTTATCAGTATGTAGTATCGTACATTTCTGAAAGAAGGGTCTATGTGTAGGTAACACTGTATACAGGTATCAACATTGGAGTTGAAAAACAGTTACTGCAAGTAATATATTACAAAAACTAGTGACAGGATTCTGTGAAATCAGTTATAATATTTCTAAAATATGAGAGAAGCTTTATCATTTTTGAAGCAATTTTTCTTTCTCTTTTTTCCCTAGGAGTGTGAGAGCAGTCATTATCAATTGAAATTAGAGAAAAAAGGAAAGAAATTTCTCCTGAAATATGTATTATGTGAAATTGAGAATCTTATTATTGATTCAATAAGTGATGTATTGGTTTTAGAAATTTTTTTTCAAACCCCATATTGTTCTTTTATCTATCTAGAGTTTCTTACACCTAATACCATTGTTCAATTCCTGTTATACAGGATAATATAAAATTATAGAATTACAACACAATGATCCAGGTCAGTATTACAGTGTTATCATGTTTAGTAAATGTTAAGACTTGGATTTCATAATTCCTATATATAGATACATAGATTAAATGTTTTAAATCTGATAAACATCTAGACATGTTGTTACTGGTAAATACACTCAAACTACACTTAGTCTAAGACCCCTGTGACACAGTGATAAGTTTCAACATTATTCTGTGCACAATCTACATTTCTATAAGTGCCATTTATCTTTAGTTGTGATACAAACACCATTCCACTCTGAAAACTACTGAAGAATCAACAACAAAACATTAATTTGGTGTTAAAAAAGACACACAAACATTTTAACTTTTCAAGTGTACACATATTTCCTGAATTTTACCTCTGAAATCGACAGAGCTCCATTTTCATCAGGATGTAATTTCCCAGTCTTTGCTAGATCATTCAGTTGCTGATAAATATAATTTAAAAAATACATTTAATTCAAGTATTCATTTAAAGTATTAACATGAAAAGAAAACAAGAAAGTAAATTTTAATGATTTTGTAATAACAATAAACTAGCATATTGTATAATTTTTTTTTCTACATCCTCTGAATTATATTTTTGTGTAAATCTTAATTTAAATTCAAACTACATATTTGTAAATTACAATAAAAACACAAAAGTATCTGGTCATTGTATAGGCAACAAATTTGTACTGTAAAATCCTTAATTTTTGAGGGGTCTCATTTTCATAAATTTCATGGGTACTGTAAATCATTCAATAGAAAAATTAATAAAACAATAAACATTTATGAATCAAGTGGATCAACAAAAATTTAAGTAAATTGGAATTTGTGAAAAGTAATATGCAATTAAGTATCATTAAAATAGCAATTTCTTTTGAAAAATATGAAATTTTAGTCTCACGAAAATGTATGATTTTACAGTAAGTTAAAATTAAAGCACTCTTGTCATTTTTCCAGTACCTCAGGAGGATAGACAGAAAGTCCACGTTGTACATGAGCTTTGTAAAAACCCAAATGCTTGCCCAAAAGTACAGCTGGTTTGACCATTTCAGCATGGCAGGTACCCAACAGATCAAGGAATAGTGGTCCCTTCAAAAATAGAAAAATTTAGATGAGCTGTTGAATTATAGAAATCAGTAAAAATCATAATCCAGCTTTTCTACAGTGCTTACATACAACATCCATTCTACAATAAGCCAAAGAGACCAAAACATTACTTCTGACTCGGGGGTAAGGTTATTAGAGGACAAAAAAAGTTTGTAGTTTGTAGTTTAAAAGAAGAGCAATATATTGTCAGCCAATGTCTAATTGTCAGACAAATAAGTAAGATCTCTGACCGTCCATTTACAAGTTCTTAACTGATTTCTAAATTTCTAAAATACAAAAAGCATCTTTAAATAAGACTGTTAAAACTCTTTAAGATAAAAAAATTTTGATACTTTTTGGTATACATGTCCTGATTCAAGACCCTCATCACAAATCGTGTTCTGACTCAGGGAATAGATGATACCAAATTACTACCTACCTGGTTATGAATCATACATGTGACTTGTCGGTGATAGTTGATTGGATGTTGAGGATGAAACTTGAGGATGATTGTTGACTTTGTGTTTGGGCGTAACACTCCAGATATTTTCTCAAACTTGAAAACACTCTCATTGCAGTCAATCATGAACTGAAAAAAAAATGAAAAAAACAACATAAATTTTAGAATCTAATTCTGTCTTCTGTTCGGCTGTGATTTTATGTCACTTAAGTCGATAGAGAGATAACATGACTTTTAAGTCATCAAGGTATTACTGCAATGTGATGCTGGTAAGATGTCAGCAGTTAATTTTTTTTACACAGCTATACAAAACACCTGAAACAAAAAAAGAAGTCAGAAAACCAAATATAATTCTCTTTGTTAATTTCATTTTCAAAAAATCTATTTTTCACAATTTTTTCAACCCTAAAAGAAAGTGCAAAAATAACACCCTTTGCAGTGTTCAAGTTTTACTGTAAATAAATTATTACCTGGTAAACTGCCTCAACATCAGATGTGTTGACGAGGTCCACTGTTCTTGTGCCAACCTCACCGATATCAATCTGCATGAAGTTCACTACCTTGGAGCTGAGCTGTACTGTTGGACCTATAATTAACAACGATTAAAAACTTTTATAGAACAAATAATACAATCAGTAGTCCTGATACTGATGAGAAAAAAAACATCTGTTATAATCAGTCAAGTGAAATACTCTTTAAGGCTGTATGCTACCTTGCACACCCTTTCATATTTCTTAAACTGAAGATTTACATGAATTTACATGAATCTTCGTAAAATGCTCTCATTCTTGTAAACTATTATGTCATCACTTCTTGTTTACTTTAAACATGCATCATCAATTCTTGTGTATTTAACAAATCCTGAATTACATGTGATCTATTCTATATAACTTTACAAATACCATGCTTTATTCCTATTCACATCACAATTGTATAATTCATTCTTGTGTACAAGACAAATGTGTCATCAATCTCACTCTACCTAGGAATGTGTAATAAGCTGATTAATTCATTTTTAATTCAACATTTTTGAACAAAGAAATTTAAATATGGAATTCTTACAGACTTAAGCCAGAGATAATATTTAATAACGTTATGAGAAATTTTCTAGGACACACAAGTTTACCTTTAGAAGATCCACTACACCTGATGACACTCTTACTGACGTTGCCAATAGCAACGACATTGAAATAGTCGATGCTGGTAGTGTCAACTGTGTTAGGACTGTAGGTAAACTGTAAAAGAAAGATCACATTTCCCAATAGTTCAGTACCTTACAAGGCTTGTTTCAAAGAAATTAATTGTACTTTCTAGCTCCAGTTGTTTTAAACTACACTCACACAACCATATCACATTATGTGATTCATCATGCAAATTTTAGACTGTCATACATAAAGATCAAGGTGACACTTTGGTATCACTACCTTTGTAAAAACTGGTTTTTAGAGTTACAGTTTAAAGTTCTGATGACAATATTATCTATGTAGATATTATTTTTCTCTATCATTCTGCCTAATAACTGTCCAGAACATATTTCTTGTATGAAAAGGAAACATAATACAAGTTTAAACGGTCTTACACAATCTCTGTTCCAATGAGATATAAATCCCAAACATGTGATGTTTGATGTACACCAGAGGTAACTTACCGGAATCTTTACAGATCCCATAGGTGGAACAATACCAGTTTTCTGAGGACAATCGAACACTGTATCTATCCTGGTGTTGGATGGATGTTCAACCTTGTAAGGTGCTCTCACCTGAATTGTGAGACAACAATGAAACAAATCTGTAAATCACATTTCTCTCCCCTGGTCTTATTTAACTTCTCCAAATTTACAACCATTCATCAATTATGTTATATGTATAATTCACTTCTGTGCATTTATAAACAACATGAAAATTAGGTGTCTGATATGTAAATTGTGTTTTTCATTTGAGCATAAGATTGATGAAGAAAATCTATCTCGCAGCATATTACTGAGTCAAGTAACATAGATTATTTAAAGGTGGTACATTGTTTTGTTCACAAAACATTTAATACAAAGTATGTTGTACGAAAGAGCAAAGTAAAATAGAATTTGAATTTCCTGATTGTCATTGCCCTTGGTGTTCAGTTATTTTGATATTTGAAATAACAACCGGTGATTTGGGAGTGTAATGTTTAAGAAACAATGTATAACATTTCATAAACCTAAATAAAAGGAATGGAGGCATGATATTGTTCATCATGTTTGTATCAAGAATATTTTCATGTGGTGTGAGTGAAAATGTGTATAATTTATAGACCTAAAAGAGTGCCAATGTCAACAAAATTTGGTTTCTTACCGGGGCCAAGTTATGAAGCTCCGCCCACTTTTGTGTTGTCGAGCCTACAGGAGTGGGACCAAATTGGACATTTGACTCTAAGTTCTCCTGAGTTAAAGTTGCTGCAGGCTTTCCTGGACTTGACACCAGGATGTGAGGATATTTACCTGTTTTTATCGAGGAAACCAATGCATTATCATCAAATTTCAGACATTAACACGACCAGATTAAATGAAGTTGATAACTCAACATGTTTTCTTTAATGATTCTTTAAGATTCACACCCATTAAATATAAACGAACCATCTCTTTACAAACCTAAAGTAAGACATTTTTCAGATGAAGTTACACTTAGTAATAGGAAAGATTTTGGCAATTTATAACTGACCATGAACTACAATCTGTTTGTACTGCCAAAACAAATTGTTGAAAATGAAAAAGAAAAAAAAAATAAAGATTTTGAGAGTCTTCCTCTTAGATATTATCCTTACTCATCTGTAAAGTGTAATTTTCTATTTGTTATATATCTATGTAAGTAAAATTACTTAGATACAATAGAGTATTTTCAGAGCTTTTCGTGAAATCATTAATATTTTAAACCACCTGTTCACAAATAATTCAAAATCTAAATTCTTAAAATTTTACTGCATTGGCCATACATACAAAGGTAATCAGGCAACAAACCTAAACTCTATTCTAATGGAAATGACTTACCAATTCCTTCTAGCTTTGTGACTTTTCCAAGGCTCAGGTCAGGTCCATACATACAAACAGCTTCACCTTGGTACACACAGGCATTCTACAAGGAATAGACTTTCTATGAACTATAGCTTTGTTTTAGCAATACAGTAAAATATCCTACAGTCAGCTGTTTGATATTATTTATTACAGAGAATACAAAAAGAGTCATTCAAATACAATATCTTTTTTATAAAATATATTCCTATGGCTAACATATATTTCAAACAAATGGTTCAAAAAGTTGTTGCGAGTACATTATTTCACTGTGAAGTTTTATTGTTACATATACAAAAAGCAATGTTTTGAAAATCATGTAAAACATATCTTTGCTTTATAGATTAAATTTCATCCGAAGTGACAGGCAGGCCAGGTGTTATTCTGCAAGCAACATGTTGCAGCAATATATTTTTAGAATACACTTGTAACTTACTCCAGGTTTAAATGTGGCTTTGAAGGACTTAGAGGTGTTTGACTTAAGGATAGCACTAACAGGTTCGATGGTGAATGGGTCACCACATTTCCACTGCACGTGTGTTTCCAGATCTCTGTAAAGTAAAGATGAATCTGGAGTGTTATATCAAATATAACAATGAAACATCAACAGTTCTTACTCAAACATAGCTAAGTCCTATTTGTAAATTCTGTACAGAATAAAATATATATTCAGAATTTCCTGAGCGAGCATCTAAACACAGAACACATTGAGATAAGATTTATTTCAGGGTTATTCTGACACTCCAGTCAAAAGATTTATAAATATTGTTGGACATTATAAAATACCTGGATAAGTGTTGTAAATGAGATGATGATGGATCTTACCCAGTGTTGGAGACTTGAAAGTTACTCTCCACAATATCCTTAGCAGCGCACATGCTAAAGTCCAAGAAAGATGGCACTTCAATATCCACTTCAGGCAGGACAGCTCGTATTGGAACCTCAAATGTTCCATCCTGTAATAAAAACACCACTTATTTTTGTTCTGTTCCAATTATTGGAGTTTTAACTATGAAACAATCTGTATAAAAATTAAGTATATACATTCAACATCAATCACAAAGATGAAATAAAATTGTCTGTTTCAGTTATTTGAATATGAGTTGATAGATAATTATTAACAAGTCAGATAAATTTGACAAACCTTTGTCTGAAACTCAATCTTATCTTCATACAAGACCTTCTCCAATGGTCTGAAGGTAACTGGCAAAGAGAAGCTTGTTCCTGCGCTCAACACCACAGGTTTTGGGTATAGAGTGGTGAAAAAACGACTGCTGGGATTTCTGTTTGAGAAGCATGAGAAATATAGTGACAAATTTTTCAGATTAAGGGCATGCATTCATTTCCTTTAATAAGTTTTAGTTATCAATGTATTCAACATTCTTGTTAAACAAAAAGAGCTAAAAATTGGTTTTATAAAATCAGTATGTTGCTGGTCATATAAATAATGTCATTTTATCATTATACTGTGACTTTGCCACTTTAATCAGACAGATTTTTGAGGGATTGTGTCAACATTTCTAGAATGAAGCAAAGGTAAAAACTCTACTCACTTGTATTTGACTTTCTGTGTTTTGATATGAACATTTTTGAGAATTATGTTCTTGGTGTATTCTCTTCCTGGTTCCCAACCTTGCCAAACAATACTATCAACGACTTCAATACCAAAGTGATTCATTTTTAGTGTGCTGGTTTGACGAGGGGTTTGTGCGGGTACTAGTTTGGTAGGATCGCCCACAGGCTGGGCTACTGGCATTCCTACCTCAATCATGGACGGCATTGTGTTGTTGAAATGCCTAAAGCAAAAATCAAACATGATCGAATCATTGAGTCAATTTTGTGACAGTATACATTCATTGTACAATATGTCAACATGTACGCTTTATCAAAACCATTTAGAGAAAAATATCGGATGTGATAACCACATGTTTTCAACCCTGATTGTTTCTTTTCCTTAACTAGTAGGTCATGAAATTTGTGCATGCAGTCTACTGTACTGTGTACTGGAAGGAAATGCTCAGGATTGAAGGAAGATGACTGTCACCCTTATGTTTACATTTATTGCCGATTTGTTTATTATACAAAGCCGGATAGTAAGGCATTTGTCTTAGTTAAATTCAATCTATAAAAACAAAGAATATGCCCTCGATGTGTCATAAAAAGAAGCTGGTATAACAAGACACATAGTGAAAAGTATACAGTATCATAAGGTGTTTATGTAGACTCGGCAATGAAAACAGTGCTCTTCTACTCTAACGGAAGTTATTTTCACGTTGATATATGATTTTGTATATAATACTAACAATGTATAATATACTCAACAAATACAGTATCCAACAAACCAAAATATATGAATGACAAAGTATGTTATCACTCACGAGACAGAATATCCCTCACTCAACACCTTATTTCGAACATGGAGCCGCCATCTTGTAAACTAATGTAATCAAATATGGCGTCGGTTGCTACGAGACCTCCTAACATAAATGTAAAAGTTTGAATACTGTAGAGTTATCATTAACTTGTAAGATATCATATTATTCAAAATAAATATCATTGGTAATCTGAAAAATTGCATTGTTACGGAAAATTACTAGATTTACATCGCAAACGTAAAATCGGGAAATACATAAAAGAGTACTTTCAAGGGAGACAACTTTCTTAGCAACAAAGGATTTTTCATGGCGGGAAAAGGCTTTAAATTTCATTTTAATTTTTATTTGTATATTCTCTACAAAACGAACCATCTGTATTTTTCGCGAGTCCCAACATGAACCTAAAAGTATGTATCCATTATATTTCATTGAATTGTAACAAATTAAAAGATCTAGAGTCTAGGTTCACTAAGTCTGCAGTTTATATCCAGGGACTTGGCATAGACCTCATATTCGTAAGTCCCAATTCCACACGTCTCCTACTTTTGATCTTTACTAAAATAAAAGTAATTTTTTCTAAAAAATCGATGTAGTATACTTAATTACAAGAAAAATCTAAGATTTATCTAGTTATCACTGTGAAACATATGCCTCCGTGGCCCAATGGATAAGGCACCGGCCTCCTAAGCCGGGGATTGCGGGTTCGAGTCCCGCCGGAGGTTTTTGTTTTTGAATGAAAAATACAATACAATTTCAATACGTCTTGCGATAAAACCATACAAATTGACATGGGTGGCCAAGGTCCAGAGATGAACTCGTAAAAACAGAAGAGGTAAACCTGATATAAAAGTCATATAGTACAATTACACGGTATTCAACAGAAAGGTGTCTTTATAGGAAACGATCGAGATCAGCTGTTGGTGTAGAAGAGTCTGCCGTTTCTTGTGAAATTAAACGAATTTACAAGGTGTTTATGACCTGTTTTGATAAACTCGATTAAGTCAGCCACGTATAAAAACATAAACAAACCATCCAACAGACTCGGGATCGCCATTAGTTCCTATAGATATGAAATAGTCTGTTGGAAGATCTTATCACAAAACTCGAAGAAGATGTTGTTGACCAGAACTCGAGCATTTTGATAATTTAGACAATATTCTATTCAATGTGACTCTTTTACAATAGCGGCTCCCATAGACAACAACACAATTAAACCATGTGAAACTTCAAATTTTAAATGACGGTTTTCTGTTTTTGTGACGACCATTTAGAAGTAAAAAATATCATGTAGTTATTGTCAAATTGTGTATCAAGATTACAAAACGCCACGTTTATCATAGATGTCATACTCCGGCAATTAAATGTAATGAAAATAGGTTGAAAACTTTCTTAAATTCAATATTAATTGTTTTGAGACATTGAAAGTCGATCTTACCAGAACTTGTATCCTACTTTTATTATACAACTTTTAAAACATATATCTATATCTAATTATAGATATTATATATTTATTTATGAAACGGGAAGTCATTTGATGTGACACCTTCCTGAACAGTAGATAAATGTATCTGTCCATACTTCAATTATCATAAGAACAGCAGAACGTAATTCATTACGACAAACCATAGAACAGAGTTCTTTTATCAGATACATGTAAACAAATATATGGTAATGGCCGAGGGTTTGCTGATGTTTTCCATGTAACAAAGTTATTATCACAATTTTCTACCACCAATAATGTCGCCTTAATGATATTTCCCCCCGACAAATATCCATAGATGACAGATTTGACTACATGGCCCTGGCACGGCTTCCAAACTGACGGTCATTGTTACAAGTTTCTGTGGGTGACAAATTTTTCTCTATTTCTTCTCAACACATCACCAGTTAGAATTATCATATCATTCCTTCTAATTCTATAACCTAACCATCTAACCTGTGAAGTGATTCTCGTTTTCAAAAAAAAACAATCCTAGCTCATCCAATCCTACCACAACATTTTTCATTTCAACGTAACTAACCTTGCCTTGGTCTCTCAGAACACAATCGCAATACCATCGTTATAGTTATTTGTCCTCAATAGTTACACCGACCGTGTGACTAACCCGAGACAATATTGTAATATAGACATTAATGTTGTCCGTGAAAATCATATAATATCGTAATAGTTAGAACAATATATATATATATATATATATATATATGAAAAGAATAAAATCAACGTGACAAACGCATTCTACAAACGTTTTAAGGTTTATCGTCGTTATAAAGTACAGACATATATAATACGGCGCCCAATTTGACGTAATATTTCTTTTCATGTACATTTTTAGCTACGGTTTCATTGCTTTGTATTAATTATTTCACATTGTTGTTTTTAACCTTACTTAAATGGTTTTGATTTGTATTACTATTTGATTGCTATCGTTAAGTTTTAAGTTTTGAGTTCTCTCTAATCACCTTGACACATATTTGTGCCAGTACTGATAAGGTGGGTGTGAGTAACATTAAGGTCAAACAGAGTCATTGTTACCACGACAGCTGCAATCATGGACCGTTTCCTGCTCGTTCTCATCTGTCTGATAGGTGTTGGTAAGTAGAACGTTATATACGAGGGGAAAAAATCTTAATTTGTATTTTCCTGTTCTTGAAGAGTCGTATTTCTCGTTTTGTTTGTCAGCTCTTTGTGTTTTCATTTTCAATTCAACTGATATCCCATCCGCCTGTTCCTTACTTTGCTTTCTTGCAGTTGGGGACGGTGTCTAGATATAACGAGAACACTTAAGAACGCTGTATATTATAATCACACTGAAATGTATCTTACACATGGAAGTATGACACTCCCTCCGGTTGCAAATTGGCAACTTTACATCTAGCAGCAAGTCCATATTAAACAGGCTTTGCTTTGCCTCGATCAGAGAACAGAACATTGTCTCCTTGTTGTATTGATACGGACAGACAGGCAGTAAATACTATTACTTATTTAACTAATTCAAACAAGAGTTTCGGTGAAGCTGATGAATGCTCTCCTTTCACTTATGATATTTCAGAAGTAATAGAAGGATGATAAAACACGTTACATAACATAGCGGACTGACCTGTTCAGCTGTCTTACATGGCGACCCAAAATTCAGCAGATATGCTATTTTGGTTGCAAAATCAATTCAAAATTACATTTAGAATATATTTAGAATATAAGATACAGAGGACCTTTCTTGAGGGTCGATGTAATACTGAATTTATTAAACAAGTTCAAATCAATTTGATAGATCAAATTATCATGTAAATAAGTATAGTAAATTTCATATTACATCGGCACGAGTGATAAGCTCTATTCATCACATAACCCGTATTTCTGAAATTATCAGCGAAAATTCTAGAATCAATTTCAAATAAGACAGACTTTTGCGTTTTTCAATACCAAAACAATAACGTGACGTCATCAAGGCATGGTTTATTTATGACGTCACAATAGTGGTAAATGTGTGTTACAATATTTATGACGTTTTATGATATGACACAACAGGCTAGTTATATTATTAATATGCTAACTTATCAAACCTTCTTTTCATTCCCATTATAGCTTAATATTATAGGGATTAAAGGTAACCAATATGATTTCACAGAGAAATATTCTGTTGTGTTTCTTTGTGGGATATAAAGTTGGACGTGTTTGATGCTCGTAAGTATGTCTGCAGGTTCCTTCGTGTATAAAGTGTTGTAATCATTTGGGAACGCCACATCACACAGCACTTGGACTGACCAAGATCAACATGGCAGGCCCAAGTTTCACGAGTCTTCTTTAACCTCAGGAAATCTTAACTAATATAGAAGAACATTAAATAAGTGAAGGAAAATCTTAAATTTAAGAAATTACCTGAACTAATGTTTTTCTTTGAACAATTTGAAGTTAAGGAAAATTCCTTAAGTTAAAGATTCGTGAAACTGGATCCAGGAGCTGTCGATGATTCACACGCTTACCCTTCCGGAACACGTGGTATTTCACACGCTTACCGTTCCGGAACACGTGGTATTTCACAAGCTTACCGTTCAGGAACACGTGGTATTTCATACGCTTACCGATCCGGAACACGTGGTATTTCACAAGCTTACCGTTCAGGAACACGTGGTATTTCATACGCTTACCGTTCTGGAATACGTGGTATTTCGCACACTTACCGTTCCGGAACACGTGGTATTTTTCTCCTGGTACATTTCCATAGGTCTCCATGTAAATCTTTCTTTTGTACATATATAGATCTATAGTTTCACGGGATTTGAGTTTAAATCAAGGTTCTGTGGATATGTAGGTATTTTCCTTGTGTTTTTAATACATTTCTTTTGTCTCCAGTATTTACAACATTATTCTATAATACACGTAACATTGATCTTCTTGTTCAACATC